GATTTATCTTTCCCTTTTTTAGCGCTCCCCATCTCCAGCCCCCGCTATGAAATAACATGAAATGTGTTCTGTCATACGGCTAAGCATATTTTGAGCCATCTTTTTCTTATTATATTAATATTGATCAGAGGTCTTTCTCCTTCTGCCTCTTGAAAAATGCACACTTCAAAAAAGAAGAAAGGGAAGACGGAGCTTTGATTGGCTCGGCTGTAATAAGAACACAATGATCCGAAACGTATTAACTTCGCAAAACATGCTTTTCTTTCCCCTAACCCAACCCAACCCCCAACCCAAAATCTTCCCTTCTGCAAATAGAAGAAAACAAGGGAACGGCTCAGTAGCCACCAAACTTGGTCTGTCTGTTAAAAGGGCCCCCCATTTAGATCCATGCTGGTTAAGGCTCATGTTAGGTTTGTCTGGCTCCTTGTGCAAAAAAAAAAACATGGTTAGCATTAAGCAAAACACAGGATGAGGTCCAGTATGGTTAGGGATGGAAACTGGAGCTGTTTTCCCCTTTGTGGGATCTCTCCACTAACTCTTCCTGACGGCCTCAGTTTTTGGGTTGCAAAGCTGAATTGGCAGCGGAGGTGCATCGAGGGAGAATTTAAGCAGAAATTTGGGGATTTCTGCGCCGAAATGGATCCGTTTCCCAGGGCCCTTTCTCGGTTTATTATCTATGGCATCTTCGTTCCGTTCTGTTTTGCTTTTCTGTGGTTAACCACTTGTAAACTGACCCGAGTGGCCTATAAACAAAATAAACGAGATTTCAACTGGGTTTAAAGAAAAGGGACGCAGTGGTTCAGTGGCTAAGATGCTGAGCTTGTCGATCGAAAGGTTGGCAGTTCGGCGGTTCGAATCCCGAGTGCCGCGTAACGGGGTGAGCTCCGGGTTACCTGCCCCAGCTTCTGCCAACCTAGCAGTTCAAAAGCACGTAAAAAATGCAAGTACAAAAAACAGGGACCACCTTTGGTGGGAAGGTCACAGCGTTCCGTGCGCCTTTGGCATTGAGTCATGCCGGCCACATGACCACGGAGACGTCTTCGGACAGCGCTGGCTCTTCAGCTTTGAAACGGAGATGAGCACCGCCCCCTAGAGTCGGGAACAACTAGCACGTATGTTAGGGGAACCTTTTAGTCTAAAGAAAAGAAGGACTAGGGTGACATGATAGCAGTATTCCAGTATTTGAGGGGCTGCCACAAAGAAGAGAGGTCAAGCTATTCTCCAAAGCACCAGAAGGCAGGACAAGAAGCAATGGTTGAAAACTAATCAAAGAGAGAAGCAACCTGGAATTCAGGAGAAACTTCCTAACAGTGAGGACAGAAGTTGCCTTCAGGAGTTATGAGTGCTTTGCCACTGGAGGTTTTTAAGAAGAGACTGGACAGTCACTTTTCTGAGATGGTATAGGTTCTCCTGCTTGAACAGGGGGCTGGACTAGAAGACCTCCAAGGCCCCTTCCAGCTCGATTCTATTCTAATTCTAACTTTGCTGCACTGTGCAGGAAGAGTTGGATTCACATGTTATCATGGCCATAATTCATTTGGGGTTGGTTTACTATGGAATGCCGGCCCATAGTGGTTTCAGATTTGTGATTAAACACTATTACATGATGTACTAATCAAACCATACTCTTCCCCCAACTGCTTGCAGAATAGGCCAACCTACCTGAGTCAGAATTTGAAGGAACTTCTACTCAAGACTTACTTCCAGAATCAAACCCAGCTCTTTAGGGCTTCAACCACTACTATCCAATGCATCTTTTTAACCACAACTTAGGGCAAAAACCCATTAAAAAGAAGAGCGCCGGAGGAGGAGAAAAAGAATATCTAATCAGCAGGATTTCTTGGGTTTAGGACTCAAATGTTTTCTCACAAAAGGCTTCAGCCCCGTTGTCTTGATGGAGATCTGGTGACATCTGGTGGGTGAGCTAGCAAAGGCTTCCAGAAGGAATGGTTTTTCTCCGGGAAATATTGAGCACAGTGTTCTGACTTAGGCTTCCTGAGTCATTAAAACCCACGAGTAGTCCCAAAAACCTCTTTTATTGCAACAGCTGTGAATTACGTTCATTCACAGCTGAGTCCCAATTAGTTGCAAAAAGTCCTTCGGGATAATCACCAACCTTTATTTCCCTTGACACGCTGCCAAAGACCTACTTGGCAAAGCCACACCGAGTCCAGAATCAAACAAAGATGCCGACTGGGAACAGAATTAACAACGTTGCTTTCCTGCAAAGGGCCCATGTGCCTTTGCTCCTCTTTTAAGCCTTATGGGAGGGGCCAATCATCTCCAGGCCTTACTCCCAAGTCGTCCCTTTTGTTTTAACTGTTCTTGCCTTCTGGCAGCCCTGCGCATGTGTGCACTAGGAACAGGCTCCTCCTGTTCCTCTGCCTCTCTACTGTCAGCCTCTGGAGGCTCCGGAGTCTGTGCATCACTCCCAGATGGCTCTGGCCGCATCTCTGCCTCTGACGCAGAGCCCTCGTCCAAGCCTTCCCCAGCCTCCAGGACTGGCCCATGGTCCTCCCCAGCCTTCTCACTGTCAGACTCTGCTGCCAGCTCCGCAGGCTGCTGGCAGACCACAACACACAGCATAAACTCTGAAAAGAAAAGACAGGCTGAGTTTTCTGCATTTTGCCCTCATTTTTTGAGCTTTTGGAGATGTTGGGCTAGAATAGAATAGAATAGAATAGAATAGAATAGAATAGAATAGAATAGAATAGAATAGAATAGAATAGAATAGAATAGAATAGAATAGAACAGAACAGAACAGAACAGAACAGAATTCTTTATTGGCCAAGTGTGATTGGACACACAAGGAATTTGTCTTGGTCCATATGCTCTCAGTGTACATAAAAGAACAGATACATTCATTAAGAATCATAAGGTACAACACTTAATAATAGTCATAGGGTACAAATAGGAATAGAGAGGAGAGGAGAGAAGGAGGTAATGTTGGGTTGGGCTGGGTTGGGTTGGGTTGGGTTGGGTAGAATAGAATAGAATAGAATAGAATAGAATAGAATAGAATAGAATAGAATAGAATAGAATAGAATAGAATAGAATAGAATAGAATAGAATAGAATAGAATTCTTTATTGGGCAAGTGTGATTGGACACACAAGGAATTTGTCTTGGTCCATATGCTCTCAGTGTACATAAAAGAACAGATACATTCATTAAGAATCATAAGGTACAACACTTAATAATAGTCATAGGGTACAAATAGGAATAGAGAGGAGAGGAGAGAAGGAGGTAATGTTGGGTTGGGCTGGGTTGGGTTGGGTTGGGTTGGGTAGAATAGAATAGAATAGAATAGAATAGAATAGAATAGAATAGAATAGAATAGAATAGAATAGAATAGAATAGAATAGAATAGAATAGAATAGAATAGAATTCTTTATTGGGCAAGTGTGATTGGACACACAAGGAATTTGTCTTGGTCCATATGCTCTCAGTGTACATAAAAGAACAGATACATTCATTAAGAATCATAAGGTACAACACTTAATAATAGTCATAGGGTACAAATAGGAATAGAGAGGAGAGGAGAGAAGGAGGTAATGTTGGGTTGGGCTGGGTTGGGTTGGGTTGGGTTGGGTAGAATAGAATAGAATAGAATAGAATAGAATAGAATAGAATAGAATAGAATAGAATAGAATAGAATAGAATAGAATAGAATAGAATAGAATAGAATAGAATTCTTTATTGGGCAAGTGTGATTGGACACACAAGGAATTTGTCTTGGTCCATATGCTCTCAGTGTACATAAAATAAAAGATACGTTTGTCAAGAATCATAAGGTACAACACTTAATGATAGTCATAGATTACAAATAAGCAATCAAGAAACAATATCAATATAAATTGTAAGGATACAAGCAACAAAGTTAGTCATGCAGTCATAAGTGGGAGGAGATGGCTGATGGGAATGATGAGAAGATTAATAGTAGTGCAGACTTAGTAAATAGTTTGACAGTGTTGAGGGAATTATTGTTTAGCAGAGTAATGGCGTTCGAGGAAAAAAAAACTGTCCTTGTGTCTAGTTGTTCTGGTGTGCAGCCTTGTTTTGAGGGTAGGAATTGAAACAGTTGATGTCCAGGATGCGAGGGGTCTGTAGATATTTTCACAGCCCTCTTTTTGACTCGTGCAGTCTACAGGTCCTCAATGGAAGGCAGGTTGGTAGCCATTGTTTTCTCTGCAGTTCTAATGATCCTCCGAAGTCTGGGTCTGTCTTGTTAGATAGAATAGGAAATAGGAATAAAAACTAGACCAGCACTGGAAGGGACCTTGGAGGTCTTCTAGTCCAGCCCGCTGCTCAAGCAGCAGAACCTATATATATATAGGTTCTGCTATAGTATATATATATACTATGATGCAAAATGAAGAGCGCTGGACTCCAAATCCCATAACTCCCACGCCTGACTTAAGGACGATGGGCGAGACAGCCTATTATAGACACTCCTTTCTCCATTCATAACCTTCTCGCCCGGGTGACGTCACGGTCCCTTTCCCCTCGCGCCCAATCACCGCCCGCTCCGCCCTGACCCTGGGAAAAACCCGCCCCGCCGCTCTTTCTCTCTCTCTCTCTCTCTCTCTCTCTCTCTCTCTCGCTCTCTCTCTCGCTCTGTCTCTCAGATAATTTCCTCCCGCCCCTCGCCCGCTGATTGGCCCCCGGTCAAACCCGCCACGCCCCTCCGCGGGTATTTCCCAGCCTCCCTTGCCACGCCGACCAATCAGCGCCCGCTCCGCCCTGACCCTGGGAAAACCCCGCCCCGCCGCTCTTTCTCTCTCTCTCTCTCTCTCTCTCTCTCTCTCTCTGTGTCTCTCAGATGATTTCCTCCCGCCCCTCGCCCGCTGATTGGTCCCCGGTCAAACCCGCCACGCCCCTCCGCGGGTATTTCCCCGCCTCCCTTGCCACGCCGACCAATCCGCGTCGGCGTCGGGGCGCGAGCGCCGCCTGGGCCTCTCCCGAGGCCCCGCCCCTTCGGGTGGGCGTGAGGGCGAGGACGGAGGGAAGGTCGCGGCGGCTGAGGCGGCGCCTTTCCCGCCCGGGCCTGTCTGAGGGGGCCGCCGCCGCCGCCGCCTCCGCCTCCATGGCCGGGGTGGTTCGCTCCCTGGGCCGCTGCCTGTGGCCGGCGGGAGGCGACCCCGGGGTCGAGGCGGCGGCAGGGCCGGTGGAGCCGGGCAAGGAAAGCGGCCTTCCCCGGGCGTCGTCTTCCCCGCCGCCGCCGCCGCCTCCTCTTTCTCTCCGCCGCCGGGAGCTGGAGCGTGAGGCGCGTCGTCGGAGCCGCGAGATCGACGCGCTGCTGGCCCGCGAGCGCCGCGCCGTCCGCCGCCTGGTTCGGATCCTGCTGCTGGGCGCCGGCGAGAGCGGCAAGTCGACCTTCCTCAAGCAGATGCGCATCATCCACGGCCGCGAGTTCGACCAGAAGGCGCTGCTCGAGTTCCGAGCCACCATCTACGAGAACGTCGTGAAGGTGGATCGCCGCGTGGCCTCCTTTCCTTTTTTTCCCCTTCCCTCGCCTGGCCACGCCCCCTTGTGCCCCTCCCTGGAAAGCCCCGCCCCCCTCCCCCGCAGGGTGGTATTGAGGGGAGGGGGGGAGTCTCTCCTGCTGGAGCCAAGGGTGGGGGGGTTGGACTAGAGGACCTCTAAGGCCCCTTCCCCGACCTGGGGTGGGGTCTGTTGCCTGCTTTCCTCACCCAAGGATGTTTCTTTCAAACGGGGCTCCTGCACATGATGCTTTCCTTGGGGGTGGGAGGGGAAGTGGGGGGGGTCACCTGTCCCCATGTTAAGTAGAGACCCCTGGATAGGCTGCCCTCCCTTGGAAAGAGGGATTTGCCCCCCCCCACAATGCAGTTAGGGTCAATACATACGCACACACTTAGGGCCCCTATGACCCCTCCCACACACACACACTTAGGACCCCTCCCTTAGAAAGATTACACACCCACACACACTTAGGACCCTGTAACCCCCCCCCCCACACACACACTTAAGCCCCCTATGACCCACACCACACACACACACACACACACACACACACACAAACACTTAGGACCCTTCCCTTAGAAAGACACACACACACTTAAGCCCCCTATGACCCATACACACACACTTAAGCCCCCTCCCTTAGAAAGACACACACACACACACACTTAACCCCTCTATGACCCACACCACACACACACACACACACTTAGGACCCTTCCCTTAGAAAGACACACACACACACACACTTAAGCCCCCTATGACCCATACACACACACTTAAGCCCCCTCCCTTAGAAAGACACACACACACACACACACACTTAAGCCCCCTATGACCCCCACACACACACACTTAAGCCCCCTCCCTTAGAAGGAGACATTACACACACACACACTCACTTAGGGCCCCTTGAGAGCCCCCCTTGATGTAATGAGTCCTGCCTTGGATTGGGAAACCAGTGGGGTGATTAGGGACCCTTCCCCCCACAAACGCCCAACCCACCTTCACAGGGTGGTGGCCTGCTATTTAGCTTTCTTCACATTCCCCCCCCCCCTTCCAACCTTGCAAGATTTCCTGGTGGTCTCATATCCCCCTGTTAAGTAGAGACTTCCGGGTTGAATAGCTCTGCCCCCCCCCTCCTCCCCTCGGAAAAGAGGGATTCTCCCCCTCCGGATGTGCCTCCTTAAGAGCCAGTTTGGTGTACTGGGTAAGCGGCTAGACTAGAAACCAAGAGACCCTGAGTTCCAGTTCCTGCATTGGGCATGGAAGCCGGCAGGGGATTAAGGGCTTGGCCTCTCCCCTCATCCCAACCCACCTTGGCAGGGTGGTACCCTGCTATTTAGCTTTCTTCACATTTTTTCCCCAACCTTGCAAGATCTCCTGGTGGTCTCATATCCCTTTATTAAATAGAGACCTCCAGGTTTAACAGGGTCTGCCCTTTGGAAAGAGGGATTGGTCAGTCTGCCCTGCTTCTCCCCACCCCCCCACCCCAACTTTGCCTGCAGGATTTTCTGGTGGTCTCCTGCCCCCCACAACAGAGCTGTCCAAGTTGGAACAGCCTATTCCCCAGCACCCACCCCCTTGTGCTCCAGGTCTGTGTAAGGGCTAAGCAGCTAGGCTTGAAACCCGAATTCTAGTCCTCCCTGAGACTAGGAACCCACCCACGGAGGATTTCACATCCTTCTGTCTTTCTCAGCCCACCCATCATCCTGAAAGTCTGTAAGGACTGCATTTCCATAACATTAAACTAAAATTTAATTTTCAGTATCCCATGAGTGGATTCAGAAAACCACGAGTAAATGACCCATGGATTATCGTGGCAGCCATGTTTTTATTAAAGTTCCTGGAGGAAAAAATAATTTATTTGGGGCGGGGGGGGGAATGTTACAACATTTTCTCCCCACCACCCTTTCTTGAGAGTTCAGAAGACATCTAATTCGACATGTGCCCATGTTATTTCTTAATGTGCACGGGGCAGTGAAAAAAGGATATACACACCCTGTTAGCTGCACAGGCTTGTCTTCAGATATGGCTTCCCAGCCTGAGGGTTAAAAAAGAAAAAAACCTGTTCTAAATCTTAGGAATCCAGACTGTTCCTCCTGCGAACCGATCCTAGATTATTGACCTAAACCACAGTTTTTCCTAAGAAGGAGGGGGGGAAAAAAAACAAAACATTTGTTTATTCCGTGCAAGGTTTTGCTGGACCTCTTCCTGTGCCTTAAAAGTGAGACTTAACAGAAGTTCGTCTCCCAACAAGCGTGGTCGTCTGCTGCAGGTGTTGCAAAACTTAATTCTTGCCTTCTTCGCCCGCAGTAGCCTTGCTGTGTTGGTGGTACACGACTACCCACAACAAATGGGAATTTTATCTTTAAGAAAACCACATCCCGGCTTAATAATAAGGATGGAATTTGGCTCTCAGAGTTGTCTAAAATATCTTGGAATGTAGAGCAAGGGAGAACTGGCCAAGTAGAATGCACGTGGTTCTATTAGTGTGTTAAAGATTGAGCATAGATGGGCAACATAGGAGCTAAAGTGTATTTCTCTGTTTTTGGTTTTTTTTTTTAGGGCTGCAGGGTTTTAGTCGATGCACGCGACAAACTGGGCATTCCTTGGCAGTACGCGGAAAATGAGAAACATGCCATGTTCCTAATGGCCTTTGAAAATAAAGCGGGCATGTTCATTGAACCCTCCATGTTCCAGTTGTATGTACCAGCTCTGACCGGCCTGTGGAGGGATTCTGGGATCAAGGAAGCTTTCAGCCGCCGAAGTGAATACCAGCTGGTGAGTAAACTGAACCAAAAGCAAACATTCCGTGTACAACCCCTTCACTTGTTTGAGAAGGAGCATCTTGTAGCAAGAGAGGTGGTGTTAGTTTATGGTAGCCAAAAATCAGGAGGAATCTGGTTTTTTAATTAAAAAAAACATGCAGTATTGTGAGTTGCAGCTCACTTCATTAGCATGGCTTTGTTGGGTTGAAGAGAAGAGAAATGGTTCGTGAAATCATAGAATTTATTCATCTGAAAATATGTTGCTAGGCTCTTTCTGGGTTTAAGGATTATCTTATAACTTTCAGGCTATTACGTGCTGAAAGATTCGGAAGCTGCTTCTGAAGTAACAAATGTGGGAATTTCGGCACGGGCTTTGAACTGGATCTGAGCTTTGTTTTAAGCAGAGAAATTCATAGGGCATTATTAATGCCTCCTTTGTTTTTATTTGTAAATACAAGAACAAGCTCTCACAGAATTGTTTCCCCACAAACCGGACCACTTCCTTGTTAAGCAAGAACACATAATAACATTATCCTATGAATGCGGTTCTACCACTTTTAAATTGGTTAGACTGGAAAGAAACACAAAACTCTGTCTGTGACTTTGGGTCTTTGGCCTTCTACGGAAGATTGAAAATTGCTTCAAAGTAGCTCATAACAAATTGGAGGAGTATATTATTGACATACGTGTCGCTCCAAGATTAGCAGAGAAATCCTCAAACATTCAGGCAGAAGATCATGTATGAAAACCCCCGCCCCCCCAAACAAACAGCCAGTACAGGCAGACTTAGACATACGACCATAATTGAGCAGAAATTATGATCATAAGTCAGTTCAGTGGCTGTTCAATAGATTATCACTTGACTGACCCAATTCTACAGTGATTGTTAAGTGAATCGCCAAGGTCACTAAGCGAATCTATGGTCGTTAAGTGAACCCATAACCTGTAAAGGGCTTTTTCTTTTTTTGCCCAAAACCTGAAATAAGTTTGGTTTACTTTATTGTCATTGCACCTCGTACAACGTGTACAAGGTGTACATTATAATTATAAAAACAAAATCCAAACACACATCCTTCACATTCTATACAATTGAATTAAAACTTCTTAAAGGGTGTGTGGCTTGCATCATTGTTTGAACTGATGTGAGGAGGAGGAGTATATTTCTGCTGCAAAGGCTAAACCCCAAAACAGTCTAGCTTTCAAACCTGTGAGCGGATCATCGGACTCGGGCCAAGAATCCTAAATTACCTCCTTGAGAAATGTAAGCATGAAATGTAATCAAGATCCTAAGGAAACCGAGTTTGGTCCTAAATCCATTTGTAAACAACCCAACAACTTGAGGCTTTGTGAAATCCATCGAGTCAAGCTCAGCTTTTTCATAGCCATGTCTCTTGGCAGCAGTGCTAGCCCACTCTGCCCTTCCAGATGTTTTTCCATTTTACTTCCGTGTCGTCACAGGATATGAGGTTCCATGAAAGAACCTCAAAACCCCCCAAAAAATAATTCTATACATCAGCAGTTAAATCGCCTGTTTACTGCCTAACCCGAACTGCAAATTAAAAATACCTAAAAATTAGTTAAAATACGGAAGATCACTTGTTTGAGTAAAGCGTACCAGATATTAGCATCGTATTGTCGCAATTGTCTCTGTGCCTAGCTGAGCTGTGAACACATGGACAAAATCTAGGAAGTGGTGCGAGGTATTGCTTTGGGGGATGATAAATATGGTTTTATTTATTTATTATATGTGCTATATAATAGAGGCAAAATCCAAGGCTCTTTGTAATACCCAGTTTGAGGACCCAGTTTGTGGGGGCAATAAACTGACTTTGTATAAATATACAAAAGAATGAAGGCTATTGCTTAGCACATTGTAAGCCGCCCTGAGTCTCCGGAGAAGGGCGGTATATAAATCAAATTAAAAAAAAAAAAAATACCCCTGAATAAGATGTTGACACGTTGATAGCACAGGTAGTCCTCGATTTACGACCACAATTGAGCCCAAAATTGGGCTTTTGCTGTTATCTTGAGTGTTGACCGTTAACATTTAAGGAACTGTGCGGTATAGAGAACGAGGTGGAAATTCACAGCATTCTGTGTGTTGTAGTTTGAATTTGGATTCTTTTTTAAAGGAACCCTATACTAACCTTGTAGAGGTAGTCCTTGACTCACAACAGTTCATTTAGTGACCGTTCAAAGTTACAACGTCACTGGGAAACGTGACCTATGACTATTTTTTTCACGACCATGGGAGCATTCCCATGGTCATGTGATCAGATGCTTGGCAACTGGCTGGGGTCATGGGGGGGTGTCACCTTTTGCGACCTTCCGACGAGCAAAGTCAGTGGGGAAGCCCGATTCACTTAACAACCGTGTGACTGACTTGACACCTGCAGTGATTCACTTAACAACGGTGGCAAGTAAAATGGGGCAAAATTCACCGAACAGATGTTTCGCTTAGCTCAATTGTGGTCGTAAGTCGAGGACTCCCTATGCTATCAAAGTGTCAACATCTTATTCACATTATATGGCTTAGCTCAGGGGTCAGCAACCTTAAACACTCAAAGAGCCACAAAGGTCCTAACCGGAAGCCCCCGTTCAATTCTGGAGCCGACTGGAAATCCGGTTTCCCCACCATAGAGTCTCCTCCTAGCACAGCATCCTTTCTCCTCTACCTGTCCTAACCGAAAGCCCTATCAATTGTGGAGCCGACCAGCAACAGGGAGCCACAGCAGAGGGATGAAAGAGCCACATGCGGCTCCAGAGCTGCAGGTTGCTGACCCCTGGTTTAGCTGAAATGCATGCTAGGACCTTATTTTTGGGGGGGGAAACCCAATCCTTTTACAGTAGTTCAGTGTTACCCGTGGCCTTAAAAAAAACCCACCCCTTGTTCGCTTAACTTCAGTTTGTTTCCATTACCTCCCATGGAATCTTCTAGATCTTGCCCATAAATGGCAGTTGTCACAACACGGCGAGGTGATGCGGTGCTGTGTCTTGAGTTACGTGGTGTTGGCGTGTGGGTTTATTTTATTTACTCTGCTTTACTGAACACGTTTGTGAGCCGTCTAGGATTATCTTGCCATCAGATAGATGGCCATATAAAACGTGGGGAATCCAGGGTATGTTTGACGCACTTTGGGCAGAGATCACCCCTGAGCATTTGAACTCAGAATCCATCTTTCAAAAGGAGCATGTCTTGTCTGTGGGCATCCATTCAGAAAGCATGGAGCCTTTGCAGCGATAATTCTAATTTTAGGCGATGGTGAGAGATGAGGGCTATTTATAGCCCTACCGGGGCAGGAAAACTGCTCATTCACAACTATATGTCACTACATTTGTGGGGCTTATAATTTTGCGCTGGGATAAGCCATGGAGCATAGCTATCTGGGCAGCTGGCATGCATTAACAAGAGATGTGTTTTCAGTCCTTGGCACTCGTAGTTCAGGGGTCTCCAACCTTGGTCACTTTAAGACTCGTGGACTTCAACTCCGGAACTCTGGGAGTTGAAGTCCACGGGTCTTAAAGTGGCCAAGGTTGGAGACCCCTGCTCTAGTTAGTATTTTTGTTTCCTTATACAAGTAGTCCTTGTCTTAACGACCAGAATTGAGCCCCAGATTTCTGCTTTGATAGAGTGAGGCCGTCGTTAAGTGAGTTTTGCCCCATTTTTACGACCTTTCTTGCCACGGTTGTTAAGTTGCAGGAATCTGGCTTCCCCGTTGACTTTACTTGTCAGAAGGTCGCAAAACGGGGATCGCATGACACTGGGACCCTCCAACGGTCATAAATATGAGTCAGTTGCCAAGCGTCCGAATTTTAATCACCTGACCATGAGGAGCGCTGCAACGGTCATAAGTGTGAAAACAGGTCACTTTTTTTCCAGTACCGTTGTAGCTTCGAATGCTTGCTAAATGAAGCATCGTTAAATCGAGGACTACTTGCACTCTCGTGTGCTAAAACGGAATTTTTTTTTTTATAGCCACTTTCTCTGTGTTTTATTAAATCAGTATGACTCACCTAGCATGTGAACAGCCTGAATTTTTATACTTTATAACTGTAAATTGGACAAGATGAAAGCAAGGAGAAGCTCCGCAGTATCGGTCCGAAATAAACAAGATAAAAACTTGGAACAATGCTCCGATGTGGGAGCTGTCTTATTTCAGGGCTGTAGTTCCCAGTTCTGGGTTTTCAAATTCCCAGATGTGGGATGACTCATGGCTGCTGTTCAGCGATGGGGACGGCACCTCCTCCTACGTCGTCCCAGTTGGCCGGACTGACTCAGAGGATGCACGAGAAGAGAGAGATATAAAGTGAAAATGAATCATCTATATTTTTATATTAACTCTTTAGCTGTAATATATATATATGTAAGCGATCTGAGAATTATCTCACGTATAATGAAGCAATCTTCCACAGCAGTTTCATGTGGAATTGTGGGGTGTTAAATGGCTAAACCTGAACAAAATATTATTTCCTTTTGTTGCTATTTGCTTATAACAAAGATATGTTTTCCCCCACCAATCCAAGGACAACTGAGAGGTTAATGATTTGAAGACATTGTTGGTATGATGGAGGGTTTAAGAATTAAGAAGTACACTTCAATCTCAGTCAAATCAGATAAGAGCACTAGATGAAACTAGAACTAGATCAAGTTGGATTAAAGTGTTCCCACTTAAAATCTGACGTGTGTAAAAATTGTGGTCTAACCTTGGATATTATTCAGGAGTTAAGATTGTTCATAGATCTGGCTGTTTTGCGTACTATATACTAATTGCCATAAATGCTGACCGCCTTCCATTCTTGTTGGCGAACAAAAGAAACACAAAGGCAAAATAACACAATAATGTAGCAAGACAAAACAATCCTACAAGGGACATTTACCAACAACTGCAGTTAAAATTGGAATATATTTTGCTTGCTTGAGAAATACAAGAACGGAGGGACCATACGTAGCTCTAAAGCAGGGGTGTGCAACCTTGGCAACTTTACATTTTGTGGACTTCAACTCCCAGAATTCCCCAGACAGCTATGCTCTTATGTCAGAGGTCTTCAAACATGGCAGCTTTAAGACTTGTGGACTTCAACTCCCAGTCTATGTCAGACTCCTCTGACATAGAGCATAGTTGGCTGGAGAATTCTGGGAGTTGAAGTCCACAAGTCTTAAAAGCTGCCAAGTTTGAAGACCTCTGCTCTATGTGTTCCTTCTGCGGAGGTATCTGAAAACAGTTTAGGGTTTTCAAGTGAATATTATGTGCTTTACTGGAAGCCACATGAAGATTGGCTTATCTTGTAAGCAATCCGGATAAACAGAAAGCAATTCACTTCTGTATTGTGGGGTTTGGGGTTTTTTTTACTTTGTAAGAAAAAAAAAAAACACCACTCCTGTCCAGGTATTGAGGAAACAAATGAAAGAGCCATTGTATTTATATCACCAGAAGAATCTATGGCCTGTCCTAAGGGCATAAAGACAAAGCTATTTTATTTTACAGCCTGCTGTGTAAATTCTCTTCCCCAAAGTGTACACAGCTCTTGCTTGGTTTATGGACTGTCCCATAAAGGGATCATCTCAAGGCAGAGCCAAGCAGTGTAAATATGTTTTCAAAGGTTGATTTTTCCAGATTACAGTTCTGGTTCTGAAGCAATACACCCAGTTCTGTGACGATACACTTGATCCCAGCACTTATACTGTAGTTTTACATTTCTTAACGTAAACGAAATTTTGCAGAAACAGCTGCTTTGATTGCCTTGTAATTGGATGGTTCTAAAATAATTTAAGTTGACCCCAAAACGTCAGTTAGTTGGTACAGAATGCAGCAGCTTGCACGCTGGCAGATGAGAAACATTTCAACGGATTATTTTGGATACTACATTGGTTGCCAGTATTTTTCCGAGTACAATTCAAGGGGTATTAAAATCCTGATGTGGGGAAAACGTGGCTTTTTCAGAGGAATATTGTGCACTAAAGTCTTTAGTATGTCTTAACCATGGGACATTTTAATCTAAATATAACTCTTGTGAGCTGCTCAAGAGTTTGTTGAAGTAGGCAGGATGTAAACCATAAGTAAATACACTCTTCTTCTCTTTCTCAACAGGGTGAATCAGTAAAATATTTCCTGGATAATCTGGATCGGATTGGCCAGTTGGTGAGATTTTCTTGTTGTTTTTGTGTCATACACGTTCAAATCATAGATAAGAGAAGTAATAGCCCTGGAAAATGTCCCTCAAAATCATAGCACTGGATGTTTGAGCATGTGGATTTAGTAAATAATATCTCTTCTAAAGCAGACTAATAATTTCTTATATGTAGGAGCTTTTATTCTTCCTCTGGGAAGAAGAAAAAGTATGTTTTGTGCCCACTGTTTAAAAAAACCAACACAGGATGAATGCATCCATTGTTCAGACAAACTCCCTGTAATAGCAGTGACAGTTTGCCAGTCTCAGCATCAGAGAAACCTAGTTTATCAGGAGCTCTAGATTTTTACTGCCTAGGTTGAAAGGGTGGCACGTAACTTCAGAGGCTACCGAAACCAGGCTGCAAAAGGTTTGTACACTACTGAAATTCATTCTTCAGATTAAGTTTGCTAACCCTCACTTCAAGCAACCAAACACAAAATAAGGGGGGAAAAAATAACCTGAGATAAAAGTGAGCTCTTAACACAAACACAGACGCAACCTTGGCTTCTGAACAGCCTGTGCAAGATTAGCTTCTAGCTTATCCTTCCCAGCTTCAGTTCCAGAATCTTCATTCCACCGTAGTGTATCTAGACGCTCCCTTCAGCGGACTTAACTTCCCTTTTGAAGCGTGGTCTTTCTCCTACTTCCTGAGTTTTTCTTTTTTTCTTCTTCTTCTTCTTTCTGCAGAATTATTTCCCCAGTAAACAAGACATCTTGCTGGCTAGGAAAGCGACCAAAGGAATCGTGGAGCACGACTTCATCATTAAGAAGATCCCTTTCAAAATGGTGGACGTGGGCGGGCAGAGGTCTCAGCGCCAAAAGTGGTTCCAGTGCTTCGACGGCATAACGTCGATCCTGTTCATGGTCTCCTCCAGCGAATACGACCAGGTCCTGATGGAAGACCGCCGCACCAACAGACTAGTGGAGTCCATGAACATCTTCGAGACCATCGTCAACAACAAGCTCTTCTTCAACGTCTCCATCATCCTGTTCCTGAACAAAATGGACCTCCTGGTGGACAAAGTCAAGACGGTCAGCATCAAGAAGTATTTCTCGGACTTCAGGGGCGACCCTCACCGTCTGGAAGACGTCCAGCGCTACCTGGTACAATGCTTCGACCGGAAGAGACGGAACCGCAGCAAGCCCCTTTTCCATCACTTCACCACCGCCATCGACACTGAGAACATCCGCTTCGTCTTCCACGCGGTGAAGGACACCATCCTTCAGGAGAACCTTAAGGACATAATGTTGCAGTGAGCGAAAATGGAATCGTCTCTAGGGAAACCTAACCCCCGTTGTAGGCCGACCTGTCACCGCTTGGGTGTCTTTTCTCCGAAGATCCGTGCTGTGCCTTGAGTTAGGAAAAGCCGAGAAGCAGAAGTAGAAGAATTGCAGAAGTTCTAAGCGAGCTGCTGCATCGCTCCTCAACTAAGAACGCAACTTGAACGATAGATTTCCTCTCGGCTTTTGAAAAGCCAAAAGTGGTGGGGACAAAAAAGGGCGCCTGTGTGAATTAATCTTAATTCTGCAACAGTGCCAGAATGTTCTGGCTTCCATACCTGTCAGCCTTAAACTAGTTTTGGGTGCTGGAGTGATGCATTTGGTAATATATTTCATTTCTTCACCGAGGGTTCTTTTTAAGAGAATACATGGTCATAATTCCAAGGTCAGTATAGGAGCCAGGTGGATACCCAGAGGTTTGCCAACGTTCGGGTTGCATTTGCCAACGGGTTGTCTTAGCTCTTGTTTAAGGAATCTGTCTTCAGCCTTTCCTCATGTAGGAAACCAAATCCTGGGTCGGAAGAAGATGGCTTTGTATGAGATTGTTACTGCTTGGTGAGACAGTAGTAGAGAAAATACACACTTAGTGCTTTGGTAAAACATCTTTGATTCTGTTTAAAATTAGATCTGAATTTTAAAAAAAAATTCCCTTGCTGTTTAAAACAAAAAAACCAGTGTTTTGGAGCCACTGAGTTTGGACTAAAGCAGGGGTCTCCAAACTTGGCCACTTTAAGACTTGTGGACTTCAACTCCCAGAATTCCTCAGCAAAGCTGGCTGAGGAATTCTGAGAATTGAAGTCCACAAGTCTTAAAGTGGCCAAGTTTGGAGACCCCTGGACTAAAGGGTCTTGCTTTGAGTTTATTCTTAATTATATAGGGGTTTACCAATGTATGTCATGATGCATTTAAAAAAAAAAAAACAACCATAAACCCAACACGTGTAATTTGCCCCTTTGAGGCTAGAATAGAATATGTGTGAATTTGCAGAAGGCTGTGAATAACATTGATGTGAGCTTATTATTATTTTTTCCCCTCCATTCTAAAACGTTTATATTTAACTATGGGTGCCTTTCTTTTGTGTACAGGCAGTTCACACTTTTTGTCTACTCTGAGGTATGTATTAATCCAACTGAAGTCCTGCCTTATCCACCCTACAATCATGATTCAGGGATAATCTTCAAGCGTGAGAAACGTTTACTGTGACTTTGGTACCATATTTTGTAATAAACCGAAGGGCTTCGTCTTTCCTATTATTATTATCTTCTTCTCTGAATGTCGGGCACCCGTTAGGGACAATCAAATGCGAGGCAATTGTCTAGGCGCTGGTAGCACAAGTCAATAAAATCTTTTGTGACTTCCAGTTAGGGCAGAGGTCTTCAAACTTAGCAGCTTTAAGACTTGTGGATTTCAACTCCCAGAATTCTCCAGCCAGCATAGCTGAGTTAGGGGAATTCTACATTTCTTTCACCACCATCCCCTGGTGTGTAGTTCACTTAGATTTACACTGTCGTTTTTTTCTGGTGTGATGTCCCTCATTCTAAAAGCCACATTTTTCCATCTTGGTAGTATATTCTGTGCAAAACTGAGCTGTTTCTGAGAAGTGGGTTACATTTGTTTCTGGGTTTGAAATCAAAGTAAGGCAGACTTAATCATTAAAAGGCACAGACGTCTGTTTCGGAGGCTGCTTCTTTTAAGGGCTTACCTACCGGCACACACCTGGAAGCAGTTAACCTCTGGAATCCATTATTTTTTACCGTTTCTAAATAAGATGTCGCCTTTTGCCAAGAGCCTAGAGTTTTGCAAGCTGTAAAACGGTTGTCTGGTGAAAAAAAAAGGGAAACGCCTCTTAAGTTTGATGGTCAGTTGGACTTTATTTTATCATTAATAGCTAATGCCATATTTATCCTTTGGAAATCCTAAAGCGGCCCAGGGACTTCCGATACATTTCTCGAAGAGTAGTCTTGCCACTCTGAACTCTGCGAAGTTCAGGAACATCGTAATGGCACATGTGTACATATTTTAATTAATTTCTTTGCCGGGGTTTCTTCGGTGTAGATGAAAATCGGTCTATCCGGTAACCTGACTTCTAAAACGGACTCCAGTAGCAGCACAAACCGCTTTACAGGTAGTACTTAAAAACCTGGATTATGCCACCAGTGTGCTAATCCACTGTATTTATCAAAACTTGCTTTTTATTCTTTTTTATTTTATTTTTTCTATTGTAGAAGCGTGCCTGGCCAAATGTATTATACAGCTCTGCGTCTCTTCGCTAACCAAACAGAGCTCCTTACCGAGGGAAACAAAACAAAAAGTTTTGATAGCCAGATAAAACTTTCAATTGTCTAATCCGCCCAGTGGATCTTGCAGGCGGTTTATATTGCTTTTAGGACGTGGTTTAAGATTTTTACTCCTTCGCCTTTGTTGTAAGCTTATTCTCATGACCCTAACCATCCTCTTAAGGACTGTAATTGACATTCAATTTTTTGTGGTTGCCACAATACTTGTATACCAGCCAATCTTTATTTATTACGTTTAACGGTAAAAGCCAGCTCTAATTCTCCCTGCTAGCTCAGTCCTTAAAAAATCTATACTGTACAGCACTTGCCTATATAACATAAGCACATTTATGTTGCTGTATATTGTTCGGTTAACAACCTCTTCCTTTTTTGTAACCCAGTGCAGAAATATGACCTGATCTTTAGCCATCTAAGCCCTGTTTCTATGGGGTTTTTTTTTCTGATAGAGCCACAATGTTTTTTAATCTAATTGCCTTCATTCCTGCCCCAGATTGTTCTCTGTCAGGGCATTTATTAATCCCATGTTTGGCTCTGGGACTAATTACTCTGGTTTAGAGAAGATGAATCGAGGCTTATTCCAAGTTGCAATATTCTGAAAAGAAACGCGAAGGAAGGTTTCTAATAAAACTCATTTATTTGTTATAAAGAAAATAAAACACCTCACTAACTAAGAAAAGCACACTTGGAAAAAGGAAAATGTGGGGAGGGATGTAAAAAAACCAGATTTGAAGACAGAGCATTCGACTAACCAGGAAACGGGTCGTATATAAAGACAATTGATTTTCAATTTATACTCCGCAGAGTTGTGTTCCAGTTTTTGAATAGCCTGGAGTGAGTTGTACAGTTTGTCCTTTGTCCAAAAAAGCCTCCGTCAAGGCGTGTCGCTCTGTGTAACTTCCATCCTCTTGGCCAGGGGCCAAGAGGAAACTCGGTGTCGTGTCAATCCCACAGTGTAGACATAAATCCACCTCCAGACGGTTTTACATCAGAATTGTTTCCGTGTAAAGCTTTCAAGAAGAACGGTTTTGGAAACAATGAGAAGGTTTCTCAAATGTCAGCCCACCGCAGGCGTTTCGTTGGAACTGCCCACAGGTAGTCCTCGGCTTACAACGGTTGACTTAGTGACCATTCCAAGTTACAGCGCCACTGGCAAAAAGGGACTTGGGATCTTTTTTTCACACTTACGACCGTTGCAGCATCCCCGTAGTCACGTGATCAAAATTCAAACCCTTGGCAACTGGTTCATATTTATGACGGTTGCAGCGTCCAAGGGTCACATGATCCCCCTTTTTGCGACCAACCCGACGAGCAAAGTCAGAATGTAGAAGCCAGACTCACTTAACAACCGGGTTGCTAACTGACCAGGCTGCAATGGTTCGCTTAATAACTGTGGCAAAAAAAAAAAAAGAGGTCTTAAAATGGGGCAAAGCTCACTTGCCGATTGTTTCACTTAGCAACGGAAACGTTGGGCTCAGCTGTGGTCGTAAGTCGAGGACTACCTGTAAAAAGATCTCGGCTATAGCAAAGCTTCCTGTTAAGCTTCCCGAAAGCGAAGGTGGTGTATCCTTTGAGAAGGGCACACTTAACCACGGAGGCCACTCTTAAAGCAGTATTTTACAACCTTAGTAACTTTTAAGAAGTCTGGACTTCAACTTCCAGAATTCCCCAGCCAGCTTTTCCTTTTCACGAAGCTTCAGGTGGTTCATCGGCCCTCAAACATTTATTAGGTGAAAAATATTTACCACTCCGATTAATGGGACTATCACTAATGCGGGCAAATTAATCAAATGGAATAACTTGTGGATGCTCTTTTATCCCTGGAGCATCCTATCTTAAGAACTTGTATGAATATTGGGGTAGGGGGAGGACAGACAGGGGGTTCAAGCCTTAATTTTCGAAGCTCAACCTAGTCCAGGTGCGTTGTCCTCGAATTGAAACGGTTGTACCGCATCCTCTGTCGCTATCTGGAACTGTCCGCGCTTTTCAATCGTTCTATTTTATACACCTCGTCGAAAAGGGAAATCTCTTTGACTTTTTGTGGCCTCTTTTACAGCGACCCTGTCTTTTCATGAAAGTTGTGTTATTAAAATTACCGTGGTGTAAAAAAATGTAACGGCTTTTCGTTTTGAATCGGCTGTTTTGTACATAACGGAATTTTGTAAATGCATTAAAACGTGATTTGTTATTACTGTGCCTTAGACTCTGCCAAACCATTTAAATTCCGCCGGGGAGCGGGCAATTGCGATGGATGGGACAGCAACTATAGTGGCCTCTCTTAGAAATAACACAGCCTGCAGATTTTCTTTTAATATAGCCATGATTACAACAAAGTCACATCATCAGTGCAAACTCCACTCCCTTCTGGCAATGATGATGTTACCTAGCTAGGTCATGAGACGTCTGCAAGAAAACAGCCAAGCTCAAGAAAGTACCAGGGACGCCACAGTCCTCCCCTCCTCCTCCTCCTCTTCTCTGCAAACCCCACTCCCTTCTAGCACTGATGATGTTACCTAGCTGGGTCATGAAACGTCTGCAAGAAAACCAAGCTCAGAGAGCACCAAGGACCCTACAATTAAATCCCGAGTACAAATTATTTTCTATTGGTGCAACACTTCTAGCATTTCAGTAGCTGGCATTGCAGCCAGAAATCCTCTCAATTTAGAGGCATTTCATGCTTTAGTACTTAGAACCACAGTTGGATTCTACAGATGGTATCTGTTAAGTCAGTTTTCTATTATAAGGGATGTAAACGCTGGCCTCCATTTGAGCCCCCTTTCCTTCATGAAGTGGTTTTCTCTTCTAGACATTTGACAACTTTAATACACACACACACACACACACATACATATATACATACATACATATATATATATGTATATTTGAGACTCCCAAATTGCAGCATAGAGTTGTTGCTTTTCAGCAAGATACAAAAAGCTCAGAAACTTGTGAATGAGGTTTCACAGAACTAGGGCTGAAGAACATCTTAGCTTACGTAGGTAAAACCTGGCTAGAAAGAATATGCACATAAAAGCCTACGAAAAAGAAACATATATATGTATGTATGTATGTATGATGTATGTATGTATATATGTGTGTATGTGTGTGTATATATCTCCCTCCTTCCCACCCTGTGGTGCTTTGTGAAAGAAAAACTTCAAATAATTCTAAATTGGCTGAGCAGGATTTGCATTTTGCCTTTCGCCTAGAGCACCCCAAAGGCAATTAATACTTTTTTTTTTTTTTAAAGGAATAGAGATTGTGAAACAAATGGCAGCGTTTTTATTCGGTCACCCTTTCTGAACGCATCGCGGCCATCTGTTTGCAAAAGGAATATGAGTTTTATATGCAGCGAGATGTGTAAAATCTGCCTCTTAATGGGTTTGAACAGATGGGGGGAATTTGGAGGATCGCCTCTTTTCTCTTCCCCCCTTATTTAATTGGGGGTTGTAAAAAAAAAAGAAGAAGAATGATTGGCGGAGTGTTTACTGCAGGGTTCCCCCAACTAGGGCTCTTCCTAGACGGGCGGACTTCAAATCCCAGAATGCCACAGCCAACAGGGCCATCGGTGGGAATTCTGGCTTCTCGAGGCCATGCCGTTGAAAATTGCCAAGGTGGGGGTTGGACTAGAAGACCTCCCAAGGTCCCTTCCGATTCTGTTATTCCAGTCTGCTGCAGTGTTTCTCAACCTGGGCAACTTTTAACATAACGTTAAAGAGCCTTGGTAGTACAGTGGTCTAAGGCACCCTGTTATTAAGCTGGTTATTAAGACCAGCTGCCTGCAATTACTGCAGGTTCGAATCTCACCAGGCTCAAGGTTGACTCAGCCTTCCATCCTTTCTAAGGTGGGTAAATTGAGGACCCGGTTTGTGGGGGCAATAAGCTGACTTTGTATAAATATACAAAAGGATGAAGGCTATTGCTTAGCGCATTGTAAGCCACCCTGAGTCTCCGGAGAAGGCCGGCATATAAATCAAATTTAAAAAAAACAAAAACAAAACGTGGATTCCCAACACCCAGAATTCCACCGCCAGCATGGGTGGACTTCAACTCCCAGAATTCCCTAGCTAGCCAGCAGGGCTATAGAGGAGAATCCCGGGTGCAGAAGGCCGCACGGATGGAATTTGCCAAGTTTGGTAAACGTTAACAACCGTCAGTGGCAAGAAAAAAGTCGTAAAACGGGGCAGAGAGCTCACTTAACAAACGTCTCGCTTTGCAACGGAAGCCGGGGGCTCAATCAATGGCGGTCGTACGTCGAGAACCACCTATGTGGAAGAAGGCACCCATTTGGCTTCTCGTGGACGAGAGGCATTTTTTTTCAGCCCGGTGCCAAAATTGAACTGCGGGGAAGCCGGAGGCAGATGCCTGCCCGTGAGCTCCAACCCAGCATCTGTTTTTGGGCGAAGAGATGCCAGATAGATTCTCCTCCCTTGGGGGGGGGGGGGGGGTTTTGGCGGAAAAAAAAACCCCCCCCCCCCCAAGTTCTGCAAAGCCTTTTGCTAACTAATGGAGGAGATGCAAGCTTATTTTTTTTGATCCGGCTTCTCTGTTCTTCCCTGATTATTATTTTTTAAAAAAAAAAAATCTAATCAAAACTATTTATTTCTAAAATACTCTTTTTTCCCCCTGCCTGCCTGCCTTGATCTTCTGTGCACACACACACACACACACACACACACAGGGCATTTTCCAAAAGAATAGATCGGCTTGCCGATTTTTGTTTTCTTTCTTTTAACGAGCAACGAGGAATGAGTGTGTGACCTCTGCAGCTTTGAAGGTCTGCAACAGAAGCAATTAAAACAATATTTAATCAGCTGGGAGTCACAGGAGGGTGGGGGCTAGGTCAGCCTCCGTGATTTCTTTCTCGTGAGAGATAACATGCAAGGAGTCCAAAGATCCGACGGGTGGTTGTATATTTGCCTTTTTTTTTCAAAGTTAAGCTTATTGTTTTCTTTTTCAGATATTTAGGCAGTGTAAGATGCCCTGGGGGTGTCTACACCTCATTGACTGCTATAGGGTAGCAGCTGTGTGTAACTGGCTATTTTAACGATAAACGTCTTCGGGTAGAGAAATCAACATTGAGAAATTTGGCTTTCCTAAGTCCTGGTTTTAGGTCAACCCCAAGTGCTAATTCAACATTTCCTTAAAACAGAAAGGGAATCCTTCCTGAACCTGTTTCCCGTTTACGTTCCCGATTTTAAGATCACTCGTCGGGGAGAAGGGAAAAAGCAACCCTTTCAAGATCTGGAATTCTAAAACCGCTGCGTAAAATCAAAAGCTTCGTTGTGGGAGAAGAGGGAGAAATCTGCTTTTCAGACCAGATCTTTTGCGCCCCAACCATTAAGCAAAAAGGTACCTAATCATTGGTGGGTTGCTACCGGTTCGCCTCGGTTCGGGCGAACCGGTAGTAGCAGCGGTGGGAGGCTCCGCCCATCCACCTGGATGTCATCAAATATGATCTGCGCAAGCGCAGAAGCTTTGGCAAATGCGCAGAGGTGGCGTGCGTGAGTGAACTGGTAGCAAAGTTAAGTGAAACCCACCTAATAATACCTCACTTTTTCCAGACTCAGTCTCCCTCCCTCTCTCTCCTCTCTCTCTCCTGTCCCACGAGGAAGTTCAGGCCGAGAGGGGCATTTTCTGGACGACAAATGTGTTAACAGGTGAAATGATAACAGGTAGGAAACCTGATGCACCCGGCAGAAGATGGCAGAATAACGGGGGTTTCTCTACGCTCCTCTTTTGAGAATGCTACCCAGCGTGGATTTGGTTCCCCACCCCGAATTTCCACTGTCAAAAAAAATCGAGTTATTACATAACTTGCAAGATGATTACATAAACATGTAAAGCTGTCTCCTGCAGAGCTTGTTTGCATTTGTGTGTGTGTGTGTGTGTGTTTTTCCCCATGGTAGCAGGCTCGCCGTGTTTGATAGGGATCTTGTCTTGACCTGCAAATTGCAATAATTGAAACGAGACTCACAGCTACTACTATTACGTCAAGATCCCTACATTCTCCCTTTGTAGATGAAAGAGAGCCTCGCCCTCCCCACCAGGAACTCCCGGAGGAAAGATAAGAACAGATGTATTTTATTGCGCTTGGGAAATTCTTTTTCATCCGAGGAAACAATAAGAATGTGCAGTTGAAAAGACGAGGCGTCATCCAAGAAACGAGACTTCACCAAACCCACAGAGGAATTCATCGCTGGTTTTTTTTTTAAAAAAAAACAAACGAAAAACAGGTTGCAAAATGTCTCGAGAAGCTAACTCTCCTCCCACCTCCAGTGGTGAGGAGAAGATTCCCCTCTGGCCAGTTTTCTGGAGTTCAGTTTCCTTCTTAAGGAGGAGAATTTGTCTCCGAGAACTTTCCTCAGCCCAGGGCTGTCGTTGGGGAAATGGAAATCTTTCCGCCTGTGGGGCAGCTGGCCCGTGAACATCTCCCATCGGGCCAGGGCATCCACAGTCTTGTCCAGTTGTTGGATTTCGTCTTCCGACACATCCTTTTCGAGAGCCGCGATGCACATCTCGAGCCACCGTTTGTATTCCTTGATCATGTCTAAGGGTTTGGGGGTGCCCCTGCCCAGCTGTTCTTGGTCTGGGATGCCGGCCAAAGATGTCGACTGCTCATCCAGGTCGAGATCCTGCAAGGTGGACGCGGCTTGGCTACATGTGTCTGGGGTCAAGGGCTCCGAGAGGGAGGTGATGGCCTCAGAATCGTTCTCACCACCCATCCCCGAGTCTGCACTGGGTGGCCAAATGTCCTCCGATACAGAGAGATCCGTCGAGTCTTGGCTGAGCCAGGTGGATGAAATCGTCTGCATCCAGGCGTAGAGTTTCTGTACCCCAAATTCACACACACACCCCAAAAAAACACACAAGGTGGATTTTTCTGTAGTGGTTACAAACATTGTACAAGCAATTGTTTTTCTGCATAGCCTACAACTAGTGGTAGGATTCAGCCAGTTCACACCTATTCGGGAGAACCGGTTGTTAACTTTCTAAGCAGTTTGGAGAACCGGTTGTTGGAAGAAATCTTATTTTGTTTTTTTTCCCCACTTTACAGGGCTAATCCTGTAAGGAAGGCAGGAAGGAAACATTCTGGCGTTGGTTCTAGCCTAATCTTTATTGCCCTGCTTACAGAAACTGCCTCTCTGGTTAACCCTTATTACATTGTAACAGCTAAGCCCATCGATGTGAGTGACATTGAGTTGGCCACGCTCACACAGTCACATGACCACTGAGCCACGCCTACCCAGCTGGTCATTAGGGCAGAGAATAATGTTAAATTATTTGAATCCCACCACTGCCTACAATTATGCATCCAATTTTGTAAAAAAAAAATCTAGCAACCTTTGGGAGGGGGGAAAACCTTTTCTGGTTTCTTAACAGCTGTCAAAGTGATTCTGAAACCGTCTGCATCCAGGGGGTAGAGTTTCTGTACCCCAGATTCCGCTCCCCTCAAGAAAAAAACAAACACGCAAGAGGGATCTTTCTGTTGTGATTACACAGCATTGTGCAAGCAATCATTTCTCTGCACCGTCTATAAATATGCACCCAATTTTATAAAACAAAACAAAACAAAAGCTAGCCACCACCTTTGGGGGAAAAAAAACTTTCTGGTTTCTTAACAGCTGTCAAAGCGATTCTGAAACCGTCTGCGGACAGGCTAAGTTCCCACCAACTTGAAAGAAGTGAGAGAGCTGAAAAGGAAGTTCCTGGCATTAGTCCTGCAAAGCAGGAATTTCCAAGTTGAAGCAACCCAGTGACAGAGTTGGAAAGTATCTTTGGCTGCTAATTTCATCCAGCCTTCTAATTTAAGGCAGAAATTTTGGATTGACGCCCACCCCACCCCACCCCCCAGTGACAACATGACCGCTCGATACTTCAAACATAACACAAACTCTGAACTGAGTGGCAAATAAGACTGTGATCCTATAAATGTCAGAATCGGTATCCGTGGCTGAACTATAAGCTGTGATGCATTTTCTTCCAGCCCTCTTCCACTCCCCAACTTCCTTTCCCCTCCCGTGTGGCCAATTTAGGCTGTAAGCAGGAGGCAAAGAACTCCTCCTGACTTCTCCAAATCTTTCTCTCCACTCAAAAGTTGTTTCTTGTGCTATGGTGGCGCAGTGGTCAGAAGGCAGTACTGCAGGCTACCTCTGCTGACTGCCGGCTGACTGCAATTTGGCAGTTCAAATCTCACCAGGCTCAAGGTTGACTCAGCCTTCCATCCTTCCGAAATGGGTAAAATGAGGACTCAAATTGTTTGGGGGGCAATATGCTGACTTTGTAAACCGCTTAGAGAGGGCTGTAGAGCATTGTGGAGTGGTATATAAGTCTGCTATAGCTTGGGAAGGAAGGAAGGAAGGAAGGAAGGAAGGAAGGAAGGAAGGAAGGAAGGAAGGAAGGAAGGAAGGAAGGAAGGAAGGAAGGAGCAGTTGTTACAATGCAGTGTTGCAGGATATCTCTGCCCACTGCCACGAGTTCGATCCTGACCAGCTCGAGGCTGACTCATCCTTCCAGCCTTCTGAGGTCGGTAAAATGAGGACCCAAATTGTTGGGGCCAAAATGCTGACACTGTAAACCGCTTAGAGAGGGCTGTAAAGCACTGTGAAGGGGTATATAAGTCTAAGCGCTATTGCTATTCTTCCAGTCTTGACCGAAGGCCAACATTACTTGGAACAGAAAACCGGTGGCAGGGACCCAGGCTGAGTCTACTGACAAAAGGCCACCAACTATGAGGACTCTCTGACCCCCCTGATAACACACCTCAGTTCTTCTGGTGGGCTTCCGGAGCTCCTCAACAAGGAGCTGGACTTGGCCTAGAGAAGAAGGACCATGCCACCTCTTATCCTTAACTCACCCTGTAGCGCTCAATGAGCTTGAAGCCCACCACGTACTGCAGCTTCCGGAGACATATCGGGCACGGTTCCAGCGGCCGCAGCAGGATCTCGTCCAAGCTGAGGGCCCCTTGCATGATGCACTGAAGCCAACGGCAGTTCCCCAAGCCGATCAGATGACAGATCTCGTGACACGTGATCTTTCGTAGGAAAAATTAAGAATCCATCAAGTCGAACAGGCAACTGTCTCCCTGCCTAGGGTTCAATTCCCTGGCTTTTCTTCCCATGTCCCTATTAGTTTTAGTTTGGTTTACTTTATTGTCACCGCACCTCGTACAACGTGTACGAGGTGTACATTATAATTATAAAAACAAAATCCAAACACACATCCTTCACATTCTATACAATTGCATTAAAACCCCCTGGTATTGCATTAATATTGCACTATACAGTAGAGTTCAATATAGTTAGTGCTCTGTTTCTCAGCCTATTTGTCCTTGTTTTTATTGTCCTGTACCGTCTGCCAAATGGTAATAGTTCAAAAAAAAAAAAAAAAAAGGCTGCCCAGGATGAGATGGATCTTTAAGAATGTTTTGAACTTTCTTAAGGTAGCGGGGGCTCTAAAGCTCTTCCAAAGAGGGGAGGGGGCAACCGATGATCCTCTGGGCAATGACGTTGACCCTCTGGAGCGCTGTCCTATCTGCCACTGTGCAATGGGCAAATCATACACAGGTGCAAGTAAGTTAAAATACTCTCTATGACGATGCTGCATTGAATGACAAATACTCCATCTCGTATCCCTGTCAAACCTTCACATCCTTCCATTTGGGTGTTTCGAAGAGTTAATCCAGTGGAACAGAAAAGTATGGAATCCTGCCCGTTATTATTGATTCAGCGTTGTGCAAGGCTGAGTCTTATTGATATGATTTGGAGGGGAAGGGGGAATCTTTAGAGGCATCTGCGATATTATTATCTGAAATGGTCTAGACCAGGGGTGGGCAATTGTGGCTCTTTTACAACCTGTGGACTTCAACTCCCAGAATTCCTGAGACAGCTTGGCTTTTACAGGTTGTAAAAGAGCCACAATTGCCACCCCCCACCCCCTGGTCTAGGGTCTCCTGCTTTTGCACGAGGTTGGACTAGAAGACCTCCAAGGTCCCTTCCAACTCTGTTATTCTGTTGTCCCTAAATACACCATCAAAGGGTGAGAATTGGCTGTAGAACAAGGATGGACAACTATCAACTTTATGAACTGGACTTCAACTGGCTCAGGAATTCTGGGCGTTGAAGTCCACAGGTCATAAAGTTGACATCGTGGCCAACCCCTGCTGTAGAACCTCCTACAACTGTTGCCTTCTTGACCATATCTGAACAACCTTAGAATCCGTTGTATCATTGGCTTTCTGAACATCCTAGTTTGGCCTTCGGGGAGCCCTCTCAAAAAAAGTCCATCGTGCCATCCAGCCTCACTTAAAACGCTCCAAACCTCAGGAGGCCATTCCAGCAGGCCACGTTGCTGAGATCTTTCCCACCGTGAGAAGTCTACACCAGAGCATGTAAACTTCAACTCCCAGAATTCCCCAGCCCAGACATGGAGCAGGGGCGTCCAATCTTGCCAACATTAAGACTTATGGATTTCAACTCCCAGAATTCCCAAGCCTCCCTTAAAAATCTCCAAACCTCAGAAGGTCATTCCAGCAGGCCACGTTGGTGAGATCTTTCCCACCAGAAGCATGAGAAATCTACACCAGAGCATGTCTCTTAACTATTTTTGAACCCACTCTGGCCCGGGTGCTCCTCACCTTGCAACACTGAAGCATTTCCAACATGTTGAACAACAAGGTCTGCTTCTTGGCTAGTTCCACTTCTTCTTCGTCACGAGCTTCCTGTCGGCGTGGAGATGGATTGAAAGCCGGGCAAGTCACCTGCGGGAAATCGCTGGAAAATCTGGCAAAGCTGCAGACGCCCACTTCTACGGAGAGAGAGGAAACGAAGGGTGAGAAAGGTGGGTTGCATTTCCCGCAGGTGTGTCATCTCCTGTACGCAACCATCAAGGACAGACTTCCTGTGCCGGGTTGAACCATCTGTTTCAAACACTTGGTCCTTGGGCCATTTTAAATCGATTTCTAGCGCAACGGGTACATTTTACAAGATGAGCCGTGAAGTAATTCCACACACAATGGAATGAAAGTGAATCACAGTTGGATTAAGGTTGGTTTCAATGACCAGGCCTTCTTCAGCTTTAACCCCTTCAAGGACATCTCAGCTCACAGCCAAGGAATAAATAACAAACAAGCTGGTTATAAAAAAGCATCAGAATGAAGCTTGGGCTAAGGCTCAATCAGCGGTGGCCTAGAGGTGGAGCTCTCACCTCACAATCAGGTGAGTTCTGTGAGTTCGATCCTAGGTAGAGGCAGATATTTCTCTCTCTGGGCACGATGAGAAATATATCTGCCGAAAAAAACTCCGCATTGGTGACAGGAAAGGCATCTGGCCAGGAAACACTCAGCTCCATTCAGTTGTCCAGACTCCACCGCACAAGGGATTGTTAAAAGAAGAAGATGATTTTTTTTTCATCTCTCATTTCTGCCAGCTTTTAATCCGTCCCCAATATCAAAAAGGGGAGATGGAGCTAAACCAGCTGTGCCTCAGTGATGTCTCTGCTACGGTATAGTTTAGTGCAAACGGTAGAATTATTCCACAGCAGAAGAGCTGTCAAGATCTCTGGATGCAAAGTTTAGAACTAAATGTGCTTTTTCTTTTTAGCAACCATTCAAAAATAGATTGGTAGTGGGGGGGGAAAAAAGAGTTTCATTAGTCCCTGTGTTTTGGATCTGGCTTCCTCATCCAATTGAGGTTCCCTGTTGAAGGAGCTTTGGCAGTGAAGAGAAGGACCAATAGAGAGAAGGGACAAGATAACGGAAGCCAATCGAGTCCCCGGTGTTTTTATCTGTAGAATAAAAACAGGACGGAACATCTTATGAATGAACTTCTGGGGGGAAAAGAGTTTGGGAGAGAAGAAAGTGGCATCACTTGAAGGCTCTTGAGGGATTGGTGGCATCGTGGTCATTTTGGATGGAAACTTTGCTGGCAATGCCAATTTAATAAAATAAAATAAAATAAATATCTGTGGTGTTGTGTTTGTCTCCTTTCACAGATTTCTCTGGTCAGAAATTTTGCTAGGGCCAATTTCTAGCAAAGTTCTTCTCATTCTTGAGAAGACGATCTTCTCTAATCTCGGCAACCTTTTCTATGGGAACCTCCAGGCCAACACTTCAGAGGTGGTATTCAGCTGGTTCTGACAGATTCGGGCGAACCGGTAGTGGAAATTTTGAGTAGTTCGGAGAACCGGCAAATACCACCTCTGGCTGGCCCCACCCTCCCGCCCCCGCCGTTCCCTGTCCTACATTCCCGTGTTTTTTAGCTCAGCTGATTCGCACGGCAACAGCTCAGCTCACCAGCGCTGACACCGAGGGCAGTGTTCGAGTGCTGCACGTGCGTGCGAACCGCGCTCTCATCGAACCGGTGGGAAAAGATTTGGAATCCCACCACTGCAACACTTGCAATATTAAGAACACCTTGGAATTTTAGTGCCCAAAGAAGTACGATTTATCACATTCTGTAAAAATTGAAGTAAGAAACCACGTTTTTGAAGCTCTTTCTAACTCCCCTCATCAGACGTGGCAGTGAAGAGCTTCTGGATCTCCCTCTTATCTCAGAAATCTCATACCAACAGCGCACACCTTCGACTCAACTTTTGGAAGGTTGACCCAACCCAGAAGAGGACCAAAATATCAAGCAAACCTTGGCCTGGCAAGAACTTGCCAAAGGTGAAACTCCACGTCTCGCACGGGTAGAGGTCAGCGAGGGTGAGGCCCAGGACACAGAGAGCGTCCATCGGCTTGTTGTTCTTCAGAAAGGTCAAGATGCCATCTAAAGGAGCAAACAAAAAACGACAGGATGGAATTACGCCTGAAACTTTGGGACTTGGGTTGGATGTACTGTAGCATGCTCGTTTTTTTTTTTTTTTTTTCAAAACAAAGAACAGTCTGGTCTGCTTTGAGACGAGTCAGACAAAAGGCTGTTTCATACAAAGGACAGCTTCTTCAAAATGAATGGAAAGAAGTTCTAGCAAATGAAAGTTGCAGCCCAGTTGTGCTGTGACGAATGCAACCAGGCCACCAAGGACCCCACAGTCCTCCTCCTCCTCTTCTCTGCAAACCCCTCTCCCTTCTAGCACTGATAATATTACCTAGACAGGTCTTGAAAGGTCTGCAAGAAAACAACCAAGCTCAGAGAGCAACTAAGGACCCCATCATCCTCCACTTCCAATCCACAAACTCCAGTCCCTTCTAACACTGATGAGGTTCCCTAGTTGGGTAATGAAACGTCCGCAGGAAAATAACTAAGTTTGGAGAGCACCAAGGACCCCACGGTGGTCGTCCTCCTCCTTCTCCTCCTCCTCCCTGCAAACCCCTCTCCTTTCTACCACTGATACCATTACCTAGTCAGGCCATGAAACGTCTGCAAGAAAACAACCAAGCTCAGAGACCACCGAGGACCTCGTCTTAAAGTTCCCAAGGACTCCACCATGATCATCCTCCCAGGTGGTCCACCCCCGCCACCTCACCTGTGTGAAGCTGCATCCTGTCCGAATCCTGATTGTGACGGTAACAGCAGTGGATGGAAGAGATGGAGACGGAAGGGAGGCACTTGACTCGGAGACCCAGAAAGAAAGACTCCACGCAGCTCCGGAGGGAATCCAGGAGAGAGATTCCCACGGGCCCTTCGCTTAGGTCTGGGAACAGAAGCGTCAAGTGACAGGGTCACTTTTTTGATCACATGATTATGAGGATCCTGGAATGGTCATAAATGTGAGGACCAGTCCTAAGTCACTTTTTTCACTCTCTTTGTAACTTCGTAGCTAAAGGAATATTTGTAAATCGAGGATTACCTGCATATACCGTGTTTTCCCCAAAATAAGATCCAATTAGAAAATAAGCCCTAGCATGATTTTTCAGGATGCTCGTAATATAAGCCCTACCCAAAAAATAAGCCTCAGTTAAGATAGTCAGCCAGATGGACGTATTTAGTACCGTATTTTCTCAAAAATAAGACCCAGCCAGAAAATAAGCCCTAGCATGATTTTTCAGCATGCTCGTAATATAAGTCCTACCCAAAAAATAAGCCTCAGTTAAGATCATCAGACAGACGGATGCATTTAGTACCGTATTTTCTCAAAAACAAGATCTAACCAGAAAATAAACCCTGATGCATCTTTTGGAACAACAATTAATATAAGACTCAGTCTTACTTTGGGGGTAACACAGTAGTAGTCAAAGCAATGTGAGAAAATTGACGCAGGAAGAAATGGATGAAACAGCTTATCAAAACATCACCGATTCTACTAGTCCTAGTAGAATTTTACAACGGGTTTAGGGAAGCTCCTTGGACTCTGACTCTTAAGGAACACCATGGAATGGAGTATCCCTGCGAAGGGCTGCCCTAAGAAAGCTGCTATTGCAAGAGAAGGCAGGTAGGTAGGCTCCTTCCTTCCTTCCTTCCTTCCTTCCTTCCTTCCTTCCTTCCTTCCTTCCTTCCTTCCTTCTTTCCTTCCTTCCTCCCACCCGCCTTCCGATCCATCAGCCGGCTTACCTATGGGTTGCAGGTAGATGTGCTTGCGGCAAAACCGTTGCTTTTTCTTTAGCAATGTGTAGTAGAAGGTCTCAAAATCCTCCGGGGCATCGGGGTGGCTGAGCAGCCAATCAAAAGCCGTCCTGATGAACAAGCTGCAGAAAAGGGTCCGGCGTGGGTTGTAGGCTTCGGACAGGAAAAGTTTTTCAGTGCTAGAGAAAGCTTTGGCGTAGAGCTCCTGCAAGGCAGGATTGGTGGAAATCAGAGCATCCTTCAATGCCCGGGGCCCAAAGCTGAATTCCTGAGTATGTCTGCACTGCAACATCGCTGACAGCCGACTCTGGTTGGGAGGAACAAAGGGAAAAGCCGGTGATTAACCAGGTTACCCACACTTGGCAAAGAAGAGACTCGACTGCCATTTGTTCTGGAAGGGTCGTGATGGTGAACCTATGGCACATGTGCTGGAAGTGGCACGCAGAGCCATCTCTCTGGGCACACGAGCCGTTGCCCGTTGCTTTTCCGGGTTCCGGTGCGCCTGCCAACTGGACTTCACGTGCATGGAAGGGAAAGGGAAAATAAAATGATAATTTTTTTTCCCAGCAGGGCAAAAGAAAATATAAAATGTCATTAATGTCTCCCACACATTACCAACACAAACACAACTGGAATATTGGTGAGCGAGGCCCTGCCACATTTAATGCTTAGCCTTTCCACCAAGGGAGAAGGCTGACGGGAAAATTTCCACCCCCGTAGTGGAAAGCTCCCGGAATTACGGCGGCTACCAAAAAAATTAATAATTTCCATTTTCTCAAACTCTTCCACCACCTCGCTCTTCCTCAGCATTGTTCTGTTTCCGGCTGCCCAACCGGGTCTCTTCCTTTCAAATAAGTTTTAACCGCCGTCCTGCCAAAAATTGCACATCGGGAAAACTTGCAGCCGTTCCCCATTCATTCATGAATAATTCTTATTTTTTGTGACTTGGCTCCTCTTTAGCAACTCCCAACGTGTGGCAAGCATCCCTGGATTATTCTGTTTGAAAGTACGCGTCTGGGCTACTCGCAAACTGTTTTCCTCCGGCGTACACCCCCCCGCTCCCTGCCCCCCCCCGAATAAAACATACACCAAAAAGATGACTGCAGACGCTTGTGAGGTAGTAAAACCCCAAATCAACCTTGGGGTCCCTTCTAAAGGAAAGACGATGATGTTTCAACATGCTGGGGGTGAAAAGGCATTTTAATGAATTCTCTTAGCGCTTCGTGGTCCCGTTTGGGTTTCTAGTAACCGGTAAAATGAGGCTGTATTTCTGTAGGGTGAAACATAATTGATCCCAGGACCCTGTATGGACGTGTTTTAATGGTATTGAAAATATTTTTTAAAATTGTTGTTTCTGCTCGCATAAAGTTCTCTACAAGCCACGCTTAATTGCCACTAGAAACCACACAATTATGTGCACGAGCACGAATCAAATCAGCTAACCTTGGCTGATTTAAGAGGCTGGGTTTCAGTTCCCAGAATTCCCCCAAGCAGCATCCCAGAGGGGATCACTGCGATAGTCGTAAGTAGGAGGACTCGTCATAAGTCACTCTTCTCAGCACTGTCGCAACTGTGAACATTCGCTAAATGAATGGTCGTAAGTGGAGAGCTTCCTGTACTTGGCTCTGACTCGTTGTGTTGTGTGAATCCGGCCAGCCTGAGTACAGTCAACAAACCATGATTAAATAAACCAGGGGTGAAATCCAGCAGAACTGGTACCGGAAATTTTGAGCAGTTCGGAGAACCGGCAAATACCACCTCTGGCTGGCCCCAGAGTGGGGTGGGAATGGAGATTTTGCAATATCCTTCCCCCAGGACCAGGGAGGGAATGGGGATTTTGTAGTATCCTTACCCAGGAGTGGGGAGGGAATGGGGATTTTGTAGTATACTGCCCCTGGAGTGGGGTGGGAATGGGGATTTTGCAGAATCCTTCCCCTGGAGTGGGGTGGGAATGGAGAGTTTGCAGTATGCTTCCCCTGGAGTGGGGTGGGAAGGGAGAGTTTGCAGTATGCTTCCCCTGCCACGCTCACCAAGCCACACCACGCCCACCAAGCCACACCACGCCCACCAAACCATGCCCACAGAACCGGTAGTAAAAAAAATGTGGATTTCACCCCTGAAATAAACCCTGTCAATGCAGGATGAGACTGATTTCCTTATTTTTGGACCTGGGTACTGGAATGCCAAAACATCCCTTCTAAAGAGGCAGGAGTTTTATATATATAAGAGAGGGAATAAAATCTGGTATTCCAGCATTCATAGATTAAGCTTCCCTGAAGTTTAGTTTAGAGGCTCTTGAAATGTTTCTGGAATCTTTTGCAAAATAGGAGCGAAAAGGAAGTTGGTCTGGTCTGGAAAGAACAGAAATAAATCAGTTCTGTTTTAATACTTTGGTTTCATCCAGACCGAGAAGGTTTCGCATCCTAGTTCCTCTTATTCGCTGCTTCCCCCGAAAGACACATGGGAAATGATTTTCAGATTCAGTTTTTACTCCAATATGTTTATTTCCAGTCTGCATTTCTTCTGGCCTGGCTTCACAGATTTGCGGGTAGGGGTAAGAAGAGAGGAGACAGCCCACAGAGGATCATCCAAGAACTTCCTGGACGGAGATAGAGCTTAGCCCCCGATGTGATGACATCTTTGTAACATTCATCGGACCCCACAAGTGTGGGAGGGAATGCATGCAAAGCTAGGAGAGGCGTAGATTAAATTTAGTTCCACTTTGGAGTTGGGAGTATTTCTTAAATCTTCTGCAGGGACAAATCATTTTAGGAAGTAAACGGCTCTCGATGTAAGCCAGGGGTCTGCAACCTTAAACACTCAAAGAGCCATTTGGATCTGTTTCCCACAGAAAAGAAAACACCGGGAGCCACAAAACTCTTCCCGTGCCTGACTATTTCTTGAGCGGCCACAAAACTAGCATATGTAGTTGTATTAAACGTTCTGTTTTCTTCTGAAACTTTTCTTTTCTTGGATTTATCCATGGTTGGCCTACCGGGGGTTAAAAAGCTCAATAAATCGTGTGCAGGTGGGTGTTGCACATTGGAGGTTGTGACGCATATTTTGAGTGACAGGGAGCCACAGCAGAGGGGTGAAAGAGCCACATGCGGCTCCAGAGCTGCAGATTGCTGAGCCCTGATCTAGGGAATCAGATGCTAATACTTGCTAGCTTTGGGGTCCTAGATGCTCTCTGACCTTGGTGGGTTTCTTGCAGACGTTTCATTACCCAACTAGGTAACATCATCAGTGGTAGAGAGTGGGGTTTGTGGAGAGGAGGAGGAGGAGGAGGAGGAGGAGGAGGAGGAGGAGGAGGAGGACTGTTGGGTCCTTGGTGCTCTCTGAACTTGGCTGTTTTCTTCCAGACGTTTCATTACCCAACTAGGTAACATGATCAGTGCTAGAAGGAAGGTTTGCTGTTTATTATCCCTTCTATAGCAACAGCACTTAGACTTATATAGTGCTTTACAGCACACTCTGGGTGACTTAAAATGTCAGCCTATTTGCCCCCAACAATGTGGGTCCTCTTTTAACCTACCTTGGAAGGATGGACAGCTGAGTCAACCTCGAGCCCCGTCAGGAGCAAACTCCAGGCTGTGGGCAGCGTTTGCCTGCAATACTGCATTCTAACCACTGCGCCACCAGGGCTCCTTCTAGCACTGATGGTATTACCTAGTTGGGTCATGAAACGTCTGCAAAAAAACCCCCAAGCTCAGCGAGCAGCACAGATCAGCCCTGAGCTCCAAATATTCTCTTCTATCCATATTGACTCGATTGCTGTGCACATTGAGGGTGAATTCCAGATACTTTCAAGGCAGGATGGTGGGTGTAAGTGACAGTTGTTTCTCGTGGGAAATTTGGGTACCCTGCCTGTGCAGTTCCACATCTGTCTCCAATATTTCCTTCCTTTCTTTAAAGCCCATCCTGCCTCAGGGCAGGGGATGAATCAGAGGCTGCCATGATCTGTTTAACCAGCCCTGTATGGAAAGATGCTGGTTTCGCTCCTTCACATCATTTCATTTAGATGAGTGCCAGTTTGGGGGAAACAGCCATACCATGTACCCCCATTCCTTCCTCCCTCCCTCCATCTCTCTCCTTCAGTTCCTTCCTTCCTTCCTTCCTTCCTTCCTTCCTTCCTTCCTTCCTTCCATCCTTCCATCCTTCCATCCTTCCTTCCTTCCATCCTTTCCTCTCTTCTCCTTCCTCATCTCCTCCCTCCCTCCCTCCATCTCTCTCCTTCAGTTCCTTTTTTCCTTCCTTCCTTCTCCCCTCCCTTCCATCCTTCCATCCTTTCCTCTCTTTTCCTTCCTCCTCATCTCCTTCCTTCCTTCCTCCCTCCCTCCATCTCTCCCTCCCTCCCTCCATCTCTCTCCTTCAGTTCCTTCTTTCCTTCCTTCCCCCCTCCCTCCCTTCCTTTCCTCTCTTTTCCTACCTCCTCATCTCCTTCCTCCCTCCATCTCTCCCTCCCTCCCTCTTTCAGTTCCTTCTTTCCTTCCTTCCTTCCTCCCTCCCTCTCTCCCTTCCATCCTTTCCTCTCTTTTCTTATCTCCTCATCTCCTCCCTCCCTCTCTCCCTCCCTCTTTCCCTCCATCTCTCTCTTTCAGTTCCTTCTTTCCTCCCTCCCTCCCTCCATCTCTCTCTTTCAGTTCCTTCTTTCTTTCTTTCCTCCCTCCCTCCCTCTCTCCCTCCCTCCATCTCTCCCTTTCAGTTCCTTCTTTCCTTCCTCTCTCCCTCCCTCCATCTCTTTCTTTCAGTTCCTTCTTTCTTTCCTCCCTCCCTCCCTTCTTGCCATGCTTTGCAGGCTTGGAAAAGGGGAGACAGGCTTGAGGAGTGGGGGGGAAGCCCCTCTTTTGCCCACATCCCAGCCGTGCAGCCTCCCTCCTCGCGGGACCGACCACTCGCGCAAGAAAACAATTTATCTCCTGGCCCCGACGGCTCCCTTGCGCCCCGTTGACAGCCGAAAGACCCGCCGCTCAAATTCCACAGCCTCCCGTGCGTTTCCCTACCCGGGGATGGATGGGGGACCTGCCCAGGCGTTGGGCCAGGCAACGGGGGGGGAGGGCAGGGCAGGGCAGGGCAAGGGTCTCCACATCCTTGGGGCGTAGGGAAGGGGAGAGGCTCGCTCCACGGGGCCCCGCAAACTCTCCGACGCCCCGCAAACGCGACTCGCTGGTCGGTCTCTCCGCCGATGCTCGACATGCATCTTCCCTTGGGGGCTGGGGAGGGGGGTGTCGGTCGGCAAAAGTCCCTCTGAAAGCCCCGGTCCCTCCGGATCTTATCCGGACCCCTCCGTCCCTTTCTCCCCTGCCATCTTCCTCCTCCTTCTCTCTTCCCTTCTCCTCTAATCCTTCCTTCCTTCCTCCCTCCCCTTCCCCTCTCTTCCTTCTTTCTTTCCTTCCTCCCTCCCTCTCTTCCCTTCCCCTCTGTTCCTTCCTCCCTCCCTCTTCCCTTTCTTTCTAATCCTCCCTCCCTCTCTTCCCTTCCCTTCTCTTCCTTCTTTCCTTCCTTGCTCCCTTCCTTCCTTCCTTGATCCCTCCCTCCCTCCCTCTCTCTTCCCTTCCCTTCTATTCCTTCCTTCCCTCCTTCATCCCTCCCTCCCTCTCTCTTCCCTTCCCTTATCTTCCTTCTTTCCTTCCTTGCTCCCTTCCTTGATCCCTCCCTCCCTCTCTCTTCCCTTCCCTTCTATTCCTTCCTTCCCTCCTTCATCCCTCCCTCCCTCTCTCTTCCCTTCCCTCCCTCCCTTCCTTCTTTTCCTTCCTCAGCGGAGTCTCCCACCTTTGCAAGCGACCACGGCTGGGTCAGCTCAGTCTCCTTCCCTCCTTCTCGCTGCTGGGGGGGGCCGGGGGGTCTTCGGCCGTTCTGACCGGGCACGGGACTTACCGCTCGGACCGCGGCTGAGCTGCGTGACGCCGCTGGCTCGCCTTTCTGCAGAGCTCGGCGGGCTGGCAAGCTCAGGCTGGTTGGTTGGGCGGATGATGGAGGGGGGGGGCAGCACCGGAGGGAAGGATGCTTCCGAGCCGGTGACGTTGCGGAGGGGGGGAGGCGACCTGCTTTTTTTGGGGGGGGGGGGGGGGGAGCGTGGGGGGGAGGGGGGGAGGTGCCACCGGAGGAAGAACAAGGCGTGGGGACTCCCCACCGCTTGGGGGGGGGGGTTTGCTGGGGCGGGGCGGGGGTCGTGTGGATGGCTTTTCTCTGGCCCGTTTCCAGAGGAGGAAAGGCGGCTGGAGGTAAATACGTTTTTCACAAGGGTGGGGGATCCCCGGTGTTATTATTATTGAGGTTGAAGCTGAAGTAGTCATGGACAGGTAGGATGTTGTAGCAGATAATTTAGTATACTACACTTAGGTCAGACCGAAGGCTGTGTAGTCCTAAATTGTCTAATCTCATAATTTCAAGTCTGGTGGCATAAGGGATTTTTTTTAAAAATTTGATTTATATGCCGCCCTTCTCCGGAGACTCAATGCGTTAAGCAATAGCCTTCATCCTTTTGTATATTTATACAAAGTCAGCTTATTGCCCCCACAAACTGGGTCCTCATTTCACCTACCTTAGAAAGGATGGAAGGCTGAGTCAACCTTGAGCCTTGGAGAGATTCGAACCTGCAGAAATTGCAGGCAGCTGTGTTAATAACAGGGTGCATTAAACCACTGTTCTACCAAGGCTCTTCAAGGCTCGCTCTTTGTTGCGAGCAGAAAGAAGAGCGGAGGGCTCTTCTCGTGAAATCTCTCTGGACTCACTCAATTGTATTAATGTCCGATATGCAGTGTGGGGTTGCAGGCAGATGAGCTGTATTCGAGAATTCACGCTTTGCTTTCCATCCTCCTAAAGATACCCGATTATCCAGAGGCTGGGCTAGGAACGCCTTCCAGATTTCTTGGGCATGGGGGTCTGGGTCTCAGCCTTGACCTTTGGCAAGCCCCCTCCCTCCTGGCTTCTGAGGGGAGGTCATGGGGGGGGGTGTCCCTCTCGCCTTTCATTGCTCTCCCTCTTTTTTTTTTTTTTTTATTTGATTTATATGGCGCCCTTCTCTGAAGACTCAGGGCGGCTTACAATGTGCTCAGCAATAGCCTTCATCCTTTTTGTATATTTATACAAAGTCAGCTTATTGCCCCCACAAACTGGGTCCTCAATTTACCTACCTTAGAAAGGATGGAAGGCTGAGTCAACCTTGAGCCTTGGCGAGATTCGAACCCTGCAGTAATTGCAGGCAGCTGGTCTTAATAACCAGCTTAATAACAGGGTGCCTTAAACCCCTGTACTACCAAGGCTCTTCCTTCTTAATCATGTCTGTCTCCAAAAGAAAGCTCCGTGTGTGTGTCGAACTCCCAAGCCCTCCCGTCTCCTTTCCAAGGAAATGATTGAATGACCCTCTCTCTCTTTTAAAGGCTGCCCCTTGGAAGTTGGAGGGCACGGAGTCTGTTCAGATGGGGGTCTTCCTTGTTTGGATTTAAGGAAGAGGCCGTCTGCAAAACTGGTTGGGCTTCAGGAGCCAAGAGCAAAAAGGCCGAGATTGCCTGCAATTCCTGGCTTTAAACTAGCCAATGGTTTTTCAGTGTATATTTCTCTCTCTGTCTCCATCTCCTTCTTCCAACTGGATTTGGGGTTTCTGCATTCCCAGGTCCAATCCACAAGGATGTCTCCTGGTTTTCCCGTGGAATATTCCACAAAAGAACAGGTCCGCCTCTGATGCTAGACCATAGTTTCTCAACAGTGTCGACTTTAAGACTGAGGACTTCAACCACCAGAATTCCCCACCCATTTATGATTCCTGGACTTCAGTTCCCAGAATTCTCCAGCCAACTAAAATGGGTGGACTTCAATTCCCAGAATTCCCCCTGCATTTATGATTCCTGGACAATTCCCAGAATTTCCCAGCCAACTAAAATGGGTGGAGTTCAAATCCCAGAATTCCCCAGCCAACGAAAATCAGTGGACTTCAACCACCAGATTCCCCTGCATTTATGATTCCTGGACTTCAAGTCCCAGAATTCCCCAGCCAACTAAAATGGTGGAGTTCAAATCCCAGAATTCCCCAGCCAACTAAAACGGCTGGAGTTCAATTCCCAGAGTTCCCCAGCCAACTAAAATCAGTGGACTTCAATTCCCAGAATTCCCCCTGCATTTATGATTCCTGGACTTTCAAGTCCAGAATTCCCCAGCCAACTAAAACGGGTGGACTTCAATTCCCAGAATTCCCCAGCCAACTAAAATGGGTGGAATTCACGTCCCAGAATTCCCCAGCCAACTAAAACGGGTGGACTTCAACCACCAAGAATTCCCCCTGCATTTATGATTCCTGGACTTCAATTCCCAGAATTCCCCAGTCAATTAAAACGGGTGGAGGTTCCGTTTGGCACCACACTTCATTCTGCCTCGGAGGCAGAGGGTGTCAGCTTTGGCCTCAGAGAGATGCTGTATCGCATCGTAATGGGGGAAAATAAGCCAACTGAAGGGTCTGGAGATGTCTTTGCATTCACAAAAAAACAGCCACACACTTCTAGCCCAGTGTTTCTCAACCTTGGTAGCTTGAAGATGGCTGGGGGATTCTGGGAGTTGAAGTCCACCCATCTTCAAGCTTCCAAGGTTGAGAAACACTGCTCTAGCCTCTGCTATTAGCATAGCTGCAAAAGGAACAGAGGTTTATTTCCCATAATCGCATCTTCATCGCTGCTTGGTTTAAAGCTGATGGAATATTCCGATTCGCTTTTATGCGTGCTTCCTTCTCACACTTGGGAGACACACACCTGTGGGAGAGGAGAGGGGAAATGTCACCTATTCAGATCACCCACCACATCTGCCGGAGGAGCCCGCCTGCCCAGATCTTCCCAGCTAAAGGAATCATTTGTCCCTGTTTTGCAAAGCAGGGTGAATCACTGCAGCGTGCAAAGCTTTTAATATTTTTATTTGCTTGCCTTTGCCGGGCGCTAAATGATGTCAACAAGCAGGCTGTCGTTGCCTCCAACCCCATCTCTTGCAGATGTCGAATATTTTCATTCTCTGCAGAGACCTGGAAGAGGGGTGTGGGGGGGGGGGGGGGATCGGTCATCCTGTCTGATGCATTCTTCTCTTTACATGTAACAATTCTCATTAAATTCTGAAGCCCTGAAGCCCGGGTGCTGGGAGCAGAGGCAGAGCCAAGCACGCTCCGGCGCTTAAGATAATTAGGGTTGTAGGTCTTCCGTAGCTCTCCTGCCCCCCCAGCCTCCCACCCCCTTGCAAAGAAAGGGCTCCTTCTGTTTTGGGGAGCGAAAATCAGATGGCCAAAAGCTGCTTTCCATATATCCAGAGCAGCTAAAACGAGGCATTTTGGATGGCTAAAAACTGATTTATTTATTTTTTGTAATTGTCTTAATGGGTGACATGTTAGCAGTCTTCCGATATCTCAGGAGCTGCCCCAAAGAAGAGGGAGTCAAGCTATTCTCCAAAGCACCTGAGGGCAGGACAAGAAGCGATGGATGGAAACTAATCAAGGGGAGAAGCAACCTAGAACTAAGGAGAAACTTCCTAACAATTGTGAGAACAATTAAGCAGTGGAACTGCCTGCCACCAGAATTTGTGGGTGCTTCAACACTGGAGGTTTTTAAGAAGAGATTGGACAGCCATTTGGCTGAAATGGTTTAGAGTTTCTAGGCCCAGGTGGCACGGGTAGCCATATTGGTGGGCACGGAAGTTGAGCTCCGCCGTGTATGCGCACACCGGCCAGCTGATTTTCAGGCCTTCTGGGCCCACCAGAAGTAGGGAAACAAGCTGTTTCCTGCCTCTGGAGGATCTGGGGGGTTGGTGGGGAAGGCCCGTTTCTCTCTCCCCGCCCCCCCAGCCTCCAGAGCCTTTCTAGGAGTCTGGGGAGGGCAAAAACGGCTTTCCCCAGACCTCCGGAGGCCAGAAATGGCCCGTTTGCCAACTTCTGGTGGGACCGGAAGTTGGCAAATGGGCTGTTTTCGGCCTCCCTGGGGTGGGTGGAGATGGGGAAGGCTGTTTTCGCCCTCCCCAGACTCCTAGAAAGGCTCTGGAGGCTGGGGAGAGCAAAAAATGGGCCTACCATGCCATCGCGTGCCAGGAGTGTGGTGAGCGTGATGGGGGGGTTTGCGTGCGCATGCGCGAGGGTAGGGCGCATATAATTATGGGTGTGGGCATGTGTGCGACACCCCCCCCATTCCTGGCACACGATGGCAAAAAATGTACCAGGCTGTCGAAAGTAATGCAAATAGTTCTGTCTACAATTATTGTGTGTGTGTGTGGGTGGGTCCTTTTTCTTTCATTAGGTATGTCCAGAAACCATTTCAGGATAGAATTCCTCGTTTTGGCATCGTTTTGGTTTGCAACGCCCCTCCTGGCTGAGGATTATGGGTGAGATACTCCTAACACATCTGGCTGACCTCAATCCAGAGGTGGGTTGCTAGAGGGGGCTTCGGTTCCCTTCCCCTGGAATCGATCAATTCCCCCCAGATGGGATCAGTGCCCATTTTTTGTACAAAACCCTTATTAAGTAAAACCTTAGATTTATAACTGAATTTATTTTTGATCTATACCTGCATGGTCGTATACGCGATCCAATAGAACTTTTGCAAGCTGTCAAGAGTCATAAAAAAATTAATAAATCATCTTTTTTATACTCTCCTGTCAATGCTTCCAGAAGGCAAATGTAATTCTTTGGATTTGTAGCTTTGGCTGGCTTTGGAGTTAAAGGGTTATTATTATTTTTTTCCTTCTCTTTTCTATTAAGTTCTGTCTCGAGTCTTCGCCCACACGAAATCTCGGACTTGACTCAAGAGCGCTCCGCTCCCCACTAACTCAAGACAGGAGCTGCACACAGCACATTTGTTCAGCTTTCCAAACAACACATCAAGAGACGCATGTGAGAAGTGCTACGTGTTTGATGTCTGAGATTCCTCCGATTCCGACTGTGCCGACAGAAACCTACGAATCTCAGCCCGATTTGCTTCATCTGAAGGCAGCCAAGCACTTTTCCTCATTGCCCTGAGAATAAAACTGCATTTACCACCCTGAGGAAGGAGGAGGAAAAACTTGGCTGTAATCATTTATAATCACCATTATTATCCACGGCTCTTCGGCAGGAAATAAGTGCAGTTTCATGTAAGAAAATGCGTTTTTAATAGAAGTCCATTATCTGCATGGTCCTCCTCCTCCTTCCTTTGGCTGTGATTTAAGACCTGGGATCATTTTCAACTGCTCAGAGCCCTCTTTTTTTTGGCTTTCCTCCTTTAATTTTTAATTTTTAATATTTTTTAGTATTTTATATATTCAAATTTTAAAATTGGTTTTAAATTGATTGGGGTTTTAATTTGTCTGGGCCAAAACTATTTAATTTGATTTTAATTCCACTTTTTAAATTTTGTATGTATGTATTTTATTGTTTGGCTGTGCACCGCCCTGAGTCCTTCGGGAGTAGGGCGGTATAGAAATCAAATCAAATCAAATCAATAAATAATAAATAATAATTAAGTGGCCTGCCATGCAGGGTTCAACTCTGTGGGTTGTTGGTGTCCAACTCATCGCGACCCCATGGACAACGTTCCTCCAGGCCTTCCTGTCCTCTACCATCCTCTGGAGTCCATTTAATCTCATGCTGACTGCTTCAGTGACTCCATCCAGCCACCTCATTCTCTGTCGTCAACTTCTTCTTTTGCCCTCCATCGTTCCCAGCATGAGGCTCTTCTCCAGGGAGTCCTTCCTTCTCATTAGGTGGCCAAAGCATTTGAGCTTCCTCTTCAGGATCTGGCCTTCTAAAGAGCAGTCAGGGTTGATCTCCTCTAGGAGTGACCGGTTGGATCGCCTTGCCATCCAAGGGAATCGCAGGAGTCTTCTCCATCACCAGAGTTCAAAGGCCTCCATTCTTTGGCGCTCAGCCTTCCTTATGGTCCAACTCTCACATTGCAACTGGGAAAACCATCGCCTTGACTAGACGCACTTTTGTTGGCGTAGACTGTGGGTATTCCTACATAGAATGGGACAACTCGCTATGGGACAATTTAACTTAATTATTTAAAATAAATCAAACCTTTTTAATTTTTGTCATTCACGTTTCATTCTGTCCTTTTGCAGCCTTGGATGACTCTATTCTACCATTTCTTTGATATTAATATAACTCTTGTCCAGCAGAAAATTGGGCCATGGCGAGTTGTTAATAGACCCATTCCTACTTACCTCCAGATGTAAACTGCTACGTGACAAGCCCAAATAAACCTTCCGTTTTCTCCTCAAGGATTTCTTAAATGGGATTAGCTAGATCAGGAGTGCCTAATCTTGGCAAGGGTAAGGCTTGTGGGCTTCAACTCCCAGAATTCGCCAGCCAGCAGAATTCTGGGAGTTGAAGTCCACAAGCCTTACTCTTGCCAAGATTAGGCATTCCTGACCTAGATGCGTAATTTACAGTGATTAATTAGAAGGCGGATCCCGTTCAGCCCAAATTCAGCTGATCTCCCCCTCCCATGAATTGAAGCAAAACCGGCCAGGCTAGGAATAACCCACCACCAAGTTAAGATTTTTCCTTCTTTGCTAGGATCTTGTCAAATGCATTAGAGAAATCAGATGGAGAGGCGTTTTCTTACTGGTAGATTGAGGAAATGCTGTTTTGAGAGAGACAGGGAGACAGACAGACAGACAGTTGGATCTAGTGGTTAAAGATCATTGTTGTGAGAAAAATAGAAGGAAGGAGGAGTATTGGGTCTTTATTTCATTTATTATCATCCCCTGCATTCACCCCAAGTTTGTGTGAGTTTTGCCTTTTGGTTCAAATGTCCATTAGCTCTTCTTTGGTGTTTATTCTTCCTGTTTTAATTCGCTCTACCAGGCCCACTTTCTGGAGGTGCCTGGAAAAAGCAGCGTGCTTGCAGTCATTTGGTTCTTACAGTTGGCCCCTTTTCCAAGCTGGCCGGCGAGCTCCAGCCCATCCTTTCAATAGCAATCTACTTTGTTCTCCTCGGCGTTCCCTGCAGCCAGGATATCCTGCAGGAGAGACTGGGGATTCCTCTCCAGGTGATCGCTGCTCACATCCAGAGACCTTCGCAAACCCTCCAGGTCCACAGATTCTAATATCAGGCTCAGCCTTTCTGGATCCTGGCAATCCTTTTCGGCAGCCTCCCCAGCAGGAAGGCTCAAAAGACAAGAGAAGGGTGTCTCTGTAGGAACTTCCTTTAGCCCAGCACCATCTCCCGACGGTGACGATTTCGACCGGTGTTTGCAAAGAGCGGATTTCAGAGCCAAAAGGACCTCGCAGGCCTTGAGTGCCACTGGCCTGTCGCAGTCCTGAAGGGCTCTGAAAAGGAAGCCAAACATTTTCATTTGACAGAAGAGCCGCAGCACGTCGGCGAGATGCGCTGGCATCTTGGCAAGCGAAGAACCAGCTGAAGTTGAGCTCTGTCCGAGTCCAAGCCGGTCAAATGTCTGGGCGATGAAAACACCCGCCAGTTCCAGAGCGTTAATTTTGACTTCCCAATCTAAGTCTCCATCCACAGCTTGAAAAGCTCGGGAAACGAACTCGGCGGGATCCGCCCAGGCCTCAGGGTGTCCTTCCTTCAGCCAGTCAATGAAGACGCCGACGGCAGCTCGGCGAGGAAAACCTTCGGAGTCCGAAGACAAGATTTCCAGCAAGCGAGCGGCCCCGACACAGATCTGGGGAACAAGCGGACAGAGAGAATCTCAAAAGGGAAAACTTGACATCTCTATGTCTGAGTGTGCGGCGGCAGCCAAAAAAGCCAACGCAATCCTAAACTGCATTAACAGAGGGGTACAATCAAGACCACTCTATAAAGCCTTAGTAAGACCACACCTAGAATACTGCATCCAGTTTCGGTCACCACACTATAAAAAAGATGTTGAGACTCTGGAAAGAGTGCAGAGAAGAGCAACCAGGATGATGAGGGGACTGGAGGCTAAAACATATGCTGAACAGTTGCAGGAACTGGGCCTGGATAATCTAGTGAAGAGAAGGACCAGGGGAGACAGGAGAGCATCTTCCAATATTTGAGGGGCTGCCACAGAGAGGAGTGGGTCAAGCTATCTTCCAAAGCCCCTGAAGGCCAGACGAGGAATAATAGATGGAAACTGATCAAGGAGAGATTCAACCTAGAAATAAGGAGGAGTTTTCTGACAGTGAGAACCATCAACAGAAGTTGCCTTCGGAAGTCGTGGAAGCTCCATCACTGGAAGCTTTCAAGAAGGGACTGGACTGCCCTCTGTCAGAAATGGTGTAGGGTCTCCCGCTTGGGTGGGGGTCAGACTAGATGACCTACAAGGTCCCTTCTTAACTCTGTTAATCTGTCAATGTAGAGAAATGGGGAGTTAAAAGCCCCAGTTTGCGCACAAGTGTCGTACCTCTTTGGTGTTCTCGTTCCTTTTGACAAGAGGCGCTTCTGGACGAGAGTGGGCCATGAGGGAGAAAAGGCCCCAGGTTTTCACGGCGCTGGCACGCACGTAGCTCTCGGGATCATTCAGGAGATCTTCCAAAAGCGTGGGAAACTCTGAAGAGAGCAGCTCTTGCCAAAACCAGTCTAGCCCTGTGTAAGGAAATGGCACTGCTAAAATACAAGTACCGTATTTTTCAGAGTATAAGACGCAACTTTTTCCTCCCTACAAGGGGGTGAAAATTTAGGTGCGTCTTATACACCAAATGTAGCCCCCCCCCTGCCCCCCCCATGATTCCCAGCCCATTTGCTGCAGTTTGGTCTGGAGGTTTTGTGTCAGGCTCCAGAGGCTTTCCAGGAGCCTGGGGAGGGCAAAAATAGCCTTCCCCACCCCCCAGAGGCCGGAAACGGTCTGCCGACTTCTGGCGAGACCGGAAGGCCCATTTTTCGCTCTCCCCATGCTCCAGAGGCTTTCTTGGAGCCTGGGGAGGGCGAAAATGGACCTCCCACCCCAGAGGCTGGAAAAGCCTGTTTCCCGACTTCCGGTGGGCCCAGAAGGCCCGAAAATTAGCCTGCCGGTGCAACGCTCGCATGCCCCCCAATATAGCTCCATGTGTCATCTGTATCTTGGTGCTCCCCTACCTCTCAAATGCTTCATCGCCAGGCTGAGAAACTCCAGGGAGGAATCGCGTACTTCCCAGCTTGGACTGCACAGATGTTTCCGTAACACCTGCAGCGTATCTTCAAAGAAAAGGAGAGAAAATTGTAGGCTGCAAAACTTGGCTATCCTTTCTAATCCACTACTCAATGCAGGTCAATTGGAGGAAATAATACTGGCTTAAAATCTAAGCCTTCCGGCTCGAAAAATTAAATATCTGAACTGCAAGGGGGAAAAAAAAACGATAACACAATATTGGGCAGTTAGCATGGATCAGCTGCAGAGACCCGCCTTCCCTATCCTAGCACTGTCCAGATGTGCTGGTCAGTGCCATCCCCAAACATCTGCAAGATTGAGGAAGGCTGGAGTAGCGGATTCTTTTCTGACAAGTTAGCTCAAGCTCGTGTGTGTCTCGTCTAGTCCTGCTATTTACACCTCTGAGAAACTTTTGGTGTTGCTGGAGATCGGCAAGGAAGACGGAAGGCTGCAAGTCAGTCAGAAGCCACTTCAGGGTTCCTTGAAGGGCTTTCTTCAAAATCTGGAAGGAAGTGGAAAGATATTTAATTTATTACCGTGTTTCCCCAAACGTAAGACCGGGTCTTATATTAATCGTTGCTCCAAAAGACACATCAGGGCTTATTTTCTGGTTAGGTCTTATTTTTTGAGAAAATACGATAGCAAATGTGTCAGTCTGACTGGTGAACTTAACTGAGGCTTATTTTTTGGGTAGGGCTTATATTACGAGCATGCTGAAAAATCATGCTAGGGCTTATTTTCTGGTTGGGTCTTATTTTTGAGAAAATATGGTACTAAATGCATCCATCTGGCTGATGAGTGTGGAACCCAAAATTGACATATGTGTAGCCATTTTAGTTAGCTTTATTTTATACTCATTTATTCCTTCTCTTCCTCTCTGTTTTGTAAGGGTTTTTTTTTTTTCGGGCTCACCACATTCTTAAGGTGGGAGGAGGGAATAGATAGTGAGGATTGTTTTGGCTAGGTGACTTTCTTTCCCGTGGGAACAGAGGCTGCTCCTGGTGAGTGTGGAAGGTGGAGTTTGAAGTCACCGGGGAAATGTGGATGGAGTGTTTATTGGAGAATGTGACTTTTGAGGGATGTTTCTATCTCACAATATTATGTGGTGCAATTCCGGTTTGTGTCAGATCCGGAATTACAACAGTTTTTGCCAATTTGATGCCTACCTAAATAAAAAAAAAATTGTTTTGGAAGATGGATTTTGCCAACCCTTTTTTGAATGGGTTTCATCACTTGGAAACCTGTGAACGATCTTAAAACTGGGACTTATTTTGGAGGTAGGGCTTACCCGTGTTTCCCCGAAAATAAGACCCTGTCTTATATGTTTTTTAAAAAAACCCCAAAATAAGTGCTTGGCCTTATTTTCGGAGAGGTCCTATTATTTTGGGGTGCGTGGAGCAAGATGGGGCTCCTCTTGCCGTCTTACCTGGTATGCAGCTCTGCGTTTAAATATTTTCAGGGAGGGCTTATTTTCGGAGGGAGGGGAGGCTTATTTTAGTGCATGCGGTCAAAAGCCCGATTGGGCTTATTATCAGGGGATGTCTTATTTTCAGTATTACGAGCATCCTGAAAAATCACGCTAGGGCTTATTTTCTGGTTGGGTCTTATTTTGGGGGAAACACGTTATTACAACGGGTATGGCCGCAGCCTTGAGTTATTTGCAACAATATGAAAAGCAGGGTATAACTAACTAAGGAACTCCAGAAGTTGCTGGTCTCCCAGCAGAGGTGATATATCTCTCTGGCTTTTATTACCATTTCTCGTCCAAAGGAAAGGCATCCCCCACCCCTCTAAGCAACAGACTTCCTTACAGAAGACAAGAGAAAGCCTTGGTACAATCCTGCACTCACCACAGGACTGTTGTCCGGACTCCGTAAGTATGTCAGGAGAACGTCAAACACTTGCAGCCTTTCTTCATCGTGAACCAATGCTAAATATAAAGAACAAACATTTTAATTGCGTGTGCTCCTTTGCCCTTCCAATCCAGCCTGGATTTCATCCCCAATCTTACTTCTCGGAGTTTATAGCTGGAACAGTTGCTCCGTAGGAAGGAAACCTTAAGAGCTAAAATGGACCTGACAAAAAGACTCCTTATGTTCCGTTTGCCTCCAAATAAGTTGCTTTTGAGGGGGGAAAAGAGCTTTGGATCTCTTCTGCTTTTTATCCCTATTGATTATTGTTGGTGTTTGATTGAATGGCAGAATAGGGTTTTTGTAAAAAAGTGCATATTTTGCAAACAGCATTATTATTATTATTATTATTATTATTATTATTATTATTATTATTATTATTATTATTATTATTTTGTAAATGTTTTTATTTTACATTTTCTTTTATAATACATCACATTTTCAGTTTTATGACACTCCATCTCTTATTATTTATTTACTACACTGAACAGACAAAATATGGCAGTTTCCATAGACGCTGGGAAGCCATCTGAGTAATCGAGAGTTGCTCAATTATTTATAACCCCGTCCCTTTAAATAAATGTCACAACAAATGGAATATTGGCAGTACCTACAATTGAAAAGTGGGATAATAAAGCCACTTTTATAACCCTGATTTATGAAACTTCTAATCTGGACGGTTAACAGAATCCTGACAGGCAAGTGAGAAACATTTATGGATAGAATTTCAGGCACGGTTGCAATTCTTCCGCAGTTGGGCATCCGACACAGACCACACGCCTTACTTACCAGCCCATCGTGAGAGTGCTCCCAGGAGGCTGAGGGCTGCCCTCTGGACTCGGAAGCTGCCAATCAAGAGGTGGCCTAGTGTAGCTCCGAAGGAGGACGACGACACAGCCTGGCCAGCGCAAAACTGTAGTATGGTCACCATGGAGCATAACAAAGGCCTATGGGGAAAGTCCACCGCCAAGCAGGCCTAGAGAAGCAACAGATCAGAGCTCTAACTCTGTAGACCAGAGTTTCTCAACTGTGGCAACTTTAAGCCAGTGGTGAAATCCTCTGCGGATTGCCACTGGTTCGTTGCCCGCGCATGGGCGATGCGCGCCAAACTTGTGCTGCGTGGGCGCAAGCGCAGTGTGTGCCAAAAGTACGTTGCGTGCACATGCACACTACACACCAAATGCACTCTGGGTGTGTACGCATGTACAGTGTATGCGAAATGCGCACTCCGCACAGAAAAAGACAACTTAACAAGGTAAGTATAACAGCGAGGGGGGGGGAACAGCTGTGCCGCGTGAGTTAGATTCGCTAGAAAGCACAATTTCTCGCTTTTTAGCGAATATAAATCACGCAACACACAGCTGATTGTCGGAAATACCAGTTCGGACGAACCGGTGAGAACCGGTAGCATTTCACTCCTGCTTTAAGCTCTGTGGACTTCAATTCCCAGAATGCCACAGAGTCAGCATTTACGGGCTTCAAATCTCCAGAATTCCCCACACTTAGAAATTTCCAGGCTTCAAATCTGGGAAAGGACGAGGGAGTCTTTTGGGAAAACCTGAACTTGCAGAAGGCCCCCCACAAGCCTATTTTCTCTGCGTGAAGACGCTGAAGAAGCTTCTGGGATGAGAAGCAAAACGTTTTCGAGGCAAAAAAATTCAGGAAAGCCCCATCGCCTTTTGGAAGGAGCACCTTTGGGGCCATACGATGACCTGGACGATGGAGAATCTCCATAGATGCGTCAAGAGAGCCTGCTCTTTTCTTACCGTCTCCTGGACTTCCTCGAGATGAGCCATCGTCTGACACAGGAGACTGGTAGAGAGAAGAGACTCTGCAGAGGAAGCATCTGAAAGCATGGGATGAAACGACAATTTTCAGACAAAAACAGGCATCTCTGACACGGCTGGACAATTCACCACAAACAGGTGAATTCCCATGCATTGATCCTACAAAGCATTGGAGCTGTTCTAAACCCAGTCTCCGGATAATCCAAGGGCCTCTTTTTCCCTACCCTCCCGTTCTGTCTAACGCAGTGATCCCCAGCCTGTGGGCTACTACGGCCTACTAATGGGCCACGAGAGGTTTGCAACCGGGCCATGGAAACGGCCGGCGAGGGCACACACGCACATCCTCACTTGCACGAGCAGGTGACTGCATGCACGTCCCTGTTCTGACCCAGCTCCCCAAACACGACAAACCCTCTGACATGAATGCAAAAGATTCCTTTATTAGGAATGCTGGCAGCCCGGGTAAAATGTTTCTCTCTCATACAGCAGGCTAACAAGTCTGTCCGGCAGGGAGAGGAATAGTTGTCTGCCACACCTATTCATCTCCGCCTCCTGCCTCCCAGAACTAGGGTGGGGCCTTGCTAGCAGCAGTGGCTCTTTCGTCCCAAGGACCGGCCCATAGATTTCCACTGCTCTCCTCTCCTCTGCCTTCTTTGCATCCGCGCGTCAGGCACTGGACCCAGCTGTTCCTCCTCTTCCTCATCAGCCACCTCCAGACCTGGGGGCTGTTGACTCTTCAACTGAGGGCTGACAGACGTCCCAAGCTCTGCCTCTGTCTGACAGGTCCATCCCCCCCTCGGAGCTCTCAGGTTGCCTTGATGCTGATCCTGACTCCCACACCTCCTCTTCCTCCTCTTCCTCTGACTTGGCTGTAGGAGGGGCCGGTGGCCGACAGGCCACAACACTCCCATTTAAGCGAGTGGCAGGCGCATGTGCACACCGCTGGCACATATGGTGCTGCCGGCGCACATACCTGCAAGCCCCTTGTGCAAAACCATCCCCTTCCCCCCAACCCCCAGGTCTGCAAAGCCCGAAACATTGGGGGAACTCCGGTCTAATGGATAGGGGCGTTAATAAGACTGTGTTGTACCACTCACTCGGGGAGGCGGCTAAACGATGCGAAGTGGCTCGTAAGATGCAGTCCATGGGCTGGAGCAAAACAGCCAGGCTCTGGGCTTTGATGGCCTGCGGGCTTGAAGAAGAGAAAAAGTTTGCTTTGCGCGCACGAAGATTAGCGCTTTCCCTTGGTTTCACGTCGGTCAAAAGTTTGTTTCGCAAATCAAAAATCCCTTCAACGTAAAACCACACAACATGCCTACGTACACACCAGGGGTGAAATCTACTTACCTTCCTTACCGGTTCGGAAATGCATGTGCCGTCACATGTGTGCGCAGACCCACTGCGCATGGTCAAATCCTCTCCGCGCATGTAGAGGATACAAAACACATTACTTCCTGGTTAAAACCAGGAAGTAACGACAACCAGGCACCGTGATTGCTACCGGTTCTCTGAACCGCCCGCCACGATTGCTACCGGATTGGGCGATCCGGTCAGAACCGGGAGCATTTCACCCCTGATACACACACATACCATGTTTCAAATTATATGAGTGATACGTTACTTTGGTTTAACTTGCTACCTTCTACAAATTCTACCATCTTTAGAACTATCGAAAGGACGTTAAAAACTTCACGGTGGAGAAAAGGGGAAAGAGTCCGGAGCAGAAGGGGCCTCTCTGGCTTTTATGACTTGAGCTCATACAGCAGCCTAAGCCAAAGTTTTTCCAATAAGCCACGATTGTCGGCGCTCACCTTAACTGAACGCTTAATTGGAAAACTCAAGTTCCACCCAATAGGACTGTGATCCCAGACTTTTATCAGCCTTGAAAAAGGGCTTAAGTGTGACCCTGGAAGAAAAGTGTCATTGGAATCTGCGGCTAAACAAGCAAAATTCTTAGCAAATCCCTCCATGAGGCTCCTTCATTATTGAATATTGCTATTCTAGGAATTCTGGGAGTTGAAGTCCACATCTGTTTAAAGTTGCCAACTGCATTAGATCATGGCCTCCTTTTTTTTAGAGCATCCGTTCCTACCATGCCTCCAGCTTCAAAAGTCCGTGTGCCAGAGGGCCGGCCTGAGCCAGGCTGATATTCTTCAGGGCGAGGGCCACCAGCTTCCAAAGGCTGCATTCATGAGAGCGAAATGCAGGAGACCTATTGGAGGAAGAATGACCGGTTGAAGAGCTGGCTGTTTAAAGCATCTGCAAGATTTAAAGCAAGCCACTTCCTCCCTCCAATGTAATGAAGTGCTCACATGTTTCCCTACATGTCCCATTTTTTGTCAGTAGCTGAAACAGAAGTCCCAGCAGTGTAGGATCATCCATGATAGAGAAGAACAATGCAAGACGCCTACAGGCAAACACTATCCCACCATCTTAACCAAGTCAAGAGCTCTTAAGGTATAATTATGGATGTCACCCTACTGTCAGCACTTCAAGCTGCATTTACTCTAGTGCTGACACAAGAAGGAGAAGCGGAAGCGTCTGGAAAGGGACGTTTGACTTTTCACCTACTTATTTTCCCTGGAGATAATATCCCCTAGGAGATGGGATGGGAGGGGGGAAATTCCTTTGAGCTGGAGCGGTAGATTAGGGGTAGAGTGACTTGGAAGATGGCCAATGAGTGCAGAGGAGTGGGGAAAGGAAAGGGAGGGTTTTGGGTCAGGAAGTCAGTGTTGGCTACGATGGAGTCGGAATTAGAATGTCGTGCTTAATAAATGGGGGTTTTTCATCAAAGACTTTGTTTGAAATGCAATTTATTTGAGACGACCTCGAAACCTGACACCTATTGGATTATAAACTAATAGGTTTGAGGGGGGTCAAGCTACTCTTAAAAGCACCTGAAGGCAAGACAAGAAGCAATGGATGGAAACTAACCAGAGAGCCAACCTAGAACTGAGGAGAAATTTCTTGATAGTGACAATTAATCAGAGCAGGGGTCTCCAACCTTGGCTCCAACTTTAAGACTTGTGGACTTCAACTCTGCTGGCTTCCAGCTATTTTGTTAGTTGAAACATAGGACCCGATGTGTCAGAACAATGCAAGAACATACAATCACTGTCCCACCATCTTAACCAATTCAGGGCTCTTAAAGAGTAATTTATGGACCCTCTCTTACCTCGCCATGCTAAGGAACAAATCAACCAACCAGGGTCCAGCTTGGATTGGCTCTTCCATCAGGACAGCTTCCACCGTTTCTGCTATGCGTGACCACAAGATTTCAGTCCAGGCATCCTGGTTGTGTTCGAATAACGTCATTAAGAGCTTCAGGGAATGCTTGATCCGAGACGAAGAGTGGGACGTGAGAGCCTCCTCAACACGGACGACCATCATCCGAGCGCAGGCCGGCCAATCGCAGTCCTTTGAACTGAGTAGACGAGACGGTTCGGACTCTACGGAAAAAATGAGCAGGCGGGCAAGAAGCCGATTGGCTCCCGCGGCGATGAAGAGGCTGGGGTCTCCTTGAAGAGTGAAGATCACATCCAGAGCTCCTGTAGGCAGCAATAAGCAATGTCAGTGTTTACAGCGTGACTATTATTTTGAGACAACCCAGGAGCAAAATACAGGACACAGAGATTTGTCTTACAAATAGTGGTTTATATACAAGACTTCTATATACAGACATACAAGTGGTAGGCACATACCAGACAAGCAATCATTCTTCAACTCTACACGGGGAGCTACAATGCAGATAGAACACGGCGAGGAGAATGATACAGAAGGAGAGAGAGAGAGACGCCCTCTAATGGCCTCCCTTATATAGACAGCTTCTTAAAGTGGCAGTAACCCTGCTAACTCATCCTCAGTTCATCATCTTGGTTTACAGCCTTACAACAGCTTTAAATCTTCATTTCCCTGACAAGCAATAGGCACAGGCCTGTGCTTAATGAGTGGCATGGCTTACGACCGTAATTCTGGGTTCAATTACAGCCGTAAGTCGAGGACTACCTGTATGGGATCCAGGGTAGGAGAAACCGTCTGGACAAGCTGATCCCAGAAGTGGAAAAATCTATACTTGCCAGAGTTGCAGAGGAACTGGAAGGCGCTGTAATGTTGCAGCATGACATAGGCGCCTTGCACCCAGCCGCTCCGAATGGTCATGTCTTCCCAGAGTGGGCTGCCCAGGGGACCCGCTTCTCCGAAGGCTCCAAACACCACCTCCCGTTGCTGACGCGAGAGGAAAAGAAAAGACATCAAGATGGCAGCTTTCGTTTGAAATCATGATGCTTCCCTGGTTGACTGCACCTTACATTTTCCTCCTGGGTTAAGTTTATCTAAATTTTAAATGAAATTCTAGGTTGTGTTCCTTGGGGCAACGCTTGAAGTTTGTATGGTCATTTGGGGGCACTGTGTAAAACAGAAGACATCTTAATACTTCGAGAGAGGAGAGGAGAGGAGAGGAGAGGAGAGGAGAGGAGAGGAGAGGAGAGGAGAGGAAAGGAAAGGAAAGGAAAGGAAAGGAAAGGAAAGGAAAGGAAAGGAAGAAGGGAGGGAGAGGAAAGGAAAGGAAGAAGGGAGAGGAAAGGGAAGGAAAGAAAGAAGGGAGAGGAAAGGAAAGGAAAGGAAGAAGGGAGGGAGAGGAAAGGAAAGGAAAGGAAGAAGGGAGGGAGAGGAAAGGAAAGGAAGAAGGGAGGGAGAGGAAAGGAAAGGAAAGGAAGAAGGGAGAGGAAAGGAAAGGAAGAAGGGAGGGAGGGAGGGAGGGAGAGGAAAGGAAAGGAAAGGAAAGGAAAGAAGGGAGGGAGGGAGGGAGGGAGGGAGGGGATGCCTCACAGCTGTGGAACTACTAAAAGAATGGCTGAGAAATCCTGACCCATCCATCCGGGCTCTGCCATAGACATTCAAACTGGTGGGATTTTTTGGCGTTTAAACTAAATCTGCAGTTTTTAAATCATGCAGAAGAAAGGAAAAAATGGTGCATGATATTTTTTTCTCCCCTCGCTAGTAAGGACACCTGCATTGGAATTGGTTCCTGCGTGTCTGACTAACCTGCAGATACTGGAAGCTGCTTTCGGAAGCTGCAAAGATCCCCGTCAGCCTCAGGACGAAAGAAAGAAGGACGGGATCTGGTTCCCCTTGTTTGAGCACCGCAAGGATCAACTCGATCAGACATGGGTTCTCTTTTAACACCAGCAAACTAGGCCCTAGACGGGGAAGGAAAGGGGGGGGAATACAGGTAGTTCTCAATTTATGACCAGTCCAAGTTACGACGGACCTCCCCAGAACTACGTATGACCCAGTTTCGAAGTCTGACAGCCAAATATACACACTGCTTTGATGTGATAGCATTTTCCGTACACGGTAAACCAGCCTGCATTTATGGCCATGTCAGGCATCCTGCAGTCATGCGACCACAATTTTTTAGCTTTTTTTGTCAGAAAATGGTGTTTGCTTCCCATCTGTGGCAGAAAACACCCATGGGCTAAAATGGACTCATTTTTAATAATGTTCCACTTAACAACAAAGGCAACAAACTGCATCCGTTTGGTTTGGTGGCAGCAGTGCCTCAGATAGAAAGTCCATACAGAGAGTGGTGAGGACAGCGGAGAAGATTATAGGAAGCTCGCTTCCTGTTATTCAGAATACTGATTATAAGTACTAAATTAGACTAACAAAGCACGGTTAGAGACCCCACACACCCACTCCACTGCCTGCTTCTGTGCTCCCTCTCCCCTCTAGGAGGAGGTTTGAAGTATTTGTAGCAGGGCTACCAGGTTCTGTAACAGCTTTGTTCCCTAGGCCATCCATCTCGTAAACTCACAAGATTTGCTTTTCTCGCCATGTACGTGTGTACGTGTGTACATCCAAACTAGACTGAGTTGTTTCTCTGTCTCATATAATATATGTTTTTAGTTTTTAATGGTTATTAATTGTTTAGTTTTAATTTGTTAATGGGTTTTAATTCGCACTGTTTTAATTCGGGCCAAAGTATATAATTCTTTTAATTAATTTTAAATTTTGTATTGTTGTGTATTTTAGTTTTGGCTGTGCACCGCCCTGAGTCCACTAGGAGAAGGGCGGTATATAAATTGAATAAATAAATGTGGGTATATGCATAATTTTGTATTTATTTATTTTGTCATGGTTATGTAGGGTATATTGGAGCTGGTGACCCTTTTAAAGGTGTATGCAATGAAATTTCATTTTAACGTACGCCGATTAGTGTACATTCAAAGTGACAATAAAAATTTGTATTGTATTTGTATTTGTATTGTAATTGTATTCATGACTGTGGCATTTGCTCAACAACTGTATTGTATTTTTTTAAAATTTGATTTATATGCCGCCCTTCTCCAGAGACTCAGGGTGGCTTACAATGTGCTAAGCAATAGCCTTCATACTTTTGTATATTTTATACAAAGTCAGCTTATTGCCCCCACAAACTGGGTCCTCATTTTACCTACCTTAGAAAGGATGGAAGGCTGAGTCAACCCGAGTCAACCTGGCGAGATTCGAATTTACAATAATTGCAGGCAGCTGGTGTTAATCACAATGCTATCAGTCTGCTGAGCCACCAGGCATTGTATTGTATTGTATTGTATTTATTGTATTGTATTGTATTTTGTATTGTATTGTATTGTATTGTATTTTGTATTGTATTGTATTGTATTTTGTATTGTATTTTGTATTGTATTGTATTTATTGTATCGTATTGTATTTTGTATTGTATTTTGTATTGTATTGTATTGTATGTATTTTGCATTGTATTGTATTGGTTGTATTGTATTGTATTGTATTTTGTATTGTATTGTATTGTATTTTGTATTGTATTGTATTGTGTATTGATTGTATTCTATTGTATTTTGTATTATATTTTTGTATTGTATTGTATTGTATTGTATTGTATTGTGTATTGCATTGTATTGTATTGTATTTTTTTATTTTTTTTATTTTAATTTGATTTATATGCTGTCCTTCTCCGGAGATTCAGGGTGGCTTACAGTGTGTTAAGCAATAGCCTTCATACTTTTGTATATTTATACATAGTCAGCTTATTGCCCCCACTAACTGGGTCCTCAATTTTACCTATGTATTGTATTGTATTTATTGTATTGTATTTATTGTATTGTATTGTATTGTATTGTATTTATTGTATTGTATTGTATTTTGTATTGTATTGTATTGTATTGTATTGTATTTTGTATTGTATTGTATTGTATTTTGTATTATATTGTATTGTATTGTATTGCATTGATTGTATTGTATTGTATTTTGTATTGTATTGATTGTATTGTATTGCATTGTATTGATTGTATTGTATTGTATTTTGTATTATATTGTATTGTATTTTGTATTGTATTGTATTGTAGTTTGTATTGTATTGTATTATATTTTGTATTGTATTGTATTTTGTATTGTATTTTGTATTGTATTGTATTGTATTTTGTATTGTATTGTATTTTGTATTGTATTGTATTGTATTGATTGTATTGTATTGTATTTTGTATTGTATTGTATTGTATTTTTGTATTTTATTGTATTGCATTGATTGTATTGTATTGTATTTTGTATTGTATTGTATTTTGTATTGTATTGTATTGTATTGCATTGATTTGTATTGTATTGTATTGTATTTTGATTTATATGTTATGTATTGTATTTGTTTTTTGTATTTGTATTGTATTATGTATTTTGTATTTTGTATTTTATTTATTGTATTGTATTTGTGTATTGTATTGTTTATTGTATTGCATTGTATTGTATTGTTTTGTATTTTGTATTATATTGTATTGTATTGATATGTATTTTGTATTGTATTTGTTGTATATTATTGTTATGGTATTGTATTTTGTATTGTATTTTGTATTGTATTTTATGTATTTTATTGTATTGATTGTATTGTATTGTATTGTATTGTATTATTGTATTTATTGTATTGTATTATTATGTATTGTATTGTATTTTGTATTTTTGTATTGTATTTGTTATTTATGTTATTTTGTATTGTATATTTGTATTGTATTTTTGTATTGGTATATTGTATTGTATTTTGTATTGTATGTAGTATTGTATTTGATATATGTATTTTGTATTTTATTATTGTATTGCATTGATTGTATTGGTATTTGTATTTTATATTGTATTGTATTGTATTGTATTGATTGTATTGTATTGTATTTTGTATTGTATTTTGTATTGTATTGTATTGTATTTTATATTGTATTGTATTGCATTGATTGTATTGTATTGTATTTTGTATTGTGTATTGTATTGTATTGTATTTTGTATTGTATTGTATTGCATTGATTGTATTGTATTGTATTTTGTATTATATTGTATTGTATTGTATTTTGTATTGTATTGTATTGCATTGATTGTATTGTAATTGTATTGTATTGTATTGTATTGTATTGTTGTATGTATTATTTTGTATTGTATTTTGTATTGTATTGTATTGTTTTATTTTGTTTGTATTGTATTGTGTATGATTATTGTTATTGATTGTATTGCATTGTATTGATTATGTATTGTATTTTGTATTGTATTATGTATTGTATTGTATTGTATTTGTATTATTGTATTTTTTATTGTATTGTATTGTATGTATTGTTGTATTGTAGTATGTGTTGATTGTTTGTATTGTATTGATATGTATTGTATTGTATTGTACTGATTGTATTGTATTGTATTGTGTATTGTATTGTATTGTATTATGTATGTATTGTATTTATGTATTTATATTTGTATGTATTGTGTATTGTATTGTATTGTATTGTAATGTGTAGATTGTATTGATTGTTATTGTATTTTATTTATTGTATTGTATTGTGTATGTGTTGTATTGTATTGTATTGTATTGTATTGTGTATTGTATTGTATTTTGTTTATTGTATTGTATTTTGATTGTATTGTATTGTATTTTGTATTTTTATTGTATTGTATTTGTATTGTATATGACTGTATTTTATTGTAATTTGTATTGTATTGTATTGTATTTATATTATTGTATTGTATTGTATTGTAGTATTGTATTGTATTGTATTGATGTATTGTATTGTATTTTGTATTGTATTTGTATTGTATTGTATTGTATTGTATTTTGTATTGTATTGTATTGCATTGATTGTATTGTATTGTATTTTGTATTATATTGTATTGTATTTTGTATTGTATTGTATTGCATTGATTGTATTGTATTGTATTTTGTATTGTATTGTATTGTATTTTGTATTGTATTGTATTGTATTTTGTATTGTATTGTATTGTATTGATTGTATTGTATTGCATTGTATTGATTGTATTGTATTTTGTATTGTATTGATTGTATTGTATTGTATTTTGTATTGTATTTTGTATTGTATTGTATTGTATTGTGTATTGTATTGTATTGTATTGATTGTATTGTATTGCATTGTACTGATTGTATTGTATTGTATTGTGTATTGTATTGTATTGTATTTTGTATTGTATTGTATTTTGTATTGTATTTTGTATTGTATTGTATTGTATTTTGTATTGTATTGTATTTTGTATTGTATTGTATTGATTGTATGTATTGCATTGTACTGATGTGTATTGTATTGTATTTTGTATGTATTGTATTTTGTATTGTATTGTATTGTATTGTATTGTATTTTGTATTGTATTTTGTATTGTATTGTATTTTTTGTATTGTATTTGTATTGTATTGTATTGACTGTATTGTATTGTATTTTGTATTATATTGTATTGTATTGTATTTTGTATTGTATTGTATGTATTGATTGTATTGTATTGTATTTTGTATTGTATTTTGTATTGTATTGTATTGTATTGTATTTGTATTGTATTGTATTGCATTGATTGTATTGTATTGTATTGTATTTTGTATTGTATTTTTGTATGTATTGTATTGTATTTTGTATTGTATTGTATTGCATTGATTGTATTGTATTGTATTTTGTATTATATTGTATTGTATTGTATTTTGTATTGTATTGTATTGATTGTATTGTATTTTGTATTGTATTTTGTATTGTATTGTATTGATTGTATTGTATTGTATTTTGTATTATATTGTATTGTATTGTATTTTGTATTGTATTGTATTGCATTGATTGTATTGTATTTTGTATTGTATTGTATTGTATTTTGTATTGTATTGTATTGATTGTATTGTATTGCATTGTATTGATTGTATTGTATTGTATTTTGTATTATATTGTATTGTATTGTATTTTGTATTGTATTGTATTGTATTTTGTATTGTATTGTATTGTATTTTGTATTGTATTTTGTATTGTATTGTATTGATTGTATTGTATTGTATTTTGTATTGTATTTTGTATTGTATTGTATTGTATTGTATTGTATTGTATTTTGTATTGTATTGTATTGATTGTATTGTATTGCATTGTATGATTGTATTGTATTGTGTATTATATTGTATTGTATTTTGTATTGTATTGTATTGTATTTTGTATTGTATTGTATTGTATTTTGTATTATATTGTATTGTATTGTATTGTATTGTATTTTTTGGTTTGTATTTTGTATTGTATTGTATTGTATTTTGTATTGTATTGTATTGTATTTTGTATTGTGTATTGTATTGTATTGTATTGTATTTTGTATTGTATTGTATTGTATTTTGTATTGTATTGTATTTATTGTATTGTTTATTTTTTTTTAATTTTAATTTGATTTATATGCCGTCCTTCTCCGGAGATTCAGGGTGGCTTACAGTGTGTTAAGCAATAGCCTTCATACTTTTGTATATTTATACAAAGTCAGCTTATTGCCCCCACAAACTGGGTCCTCTATTTACCTACCTTAGAAAGTATGGAAGGCTGAGTCAACCCTGAGTCAACCTGGCAAGATTTGAATTTACAATAATTGCAGGCAGCTGGTGTTAATTACAATGCTATCAGTCTGCTGAGCCACCAGGCATTGTATTGTATTGTATTTTGTATTGTATTTTGTATTGTATTGTATTGTATTGTATTGTATTGTATTGTATTGATTGTATTGTATTGTATTGTATTTTGTATTGTATTGTATTGTATTGCATTGTATTGTATTTTTTATTTTATTTTTTATTTTAATTTGATTTATATGCCGTCCTTCTCCGGAGATTTAGGGTGGCTTACAGTATGTTAAGCAATAGCCTTCATACTTTTGTATATTTATACAAAGTCAGCTTATTGCCCCCACAAACTGGGTCCGCAATTTACCTAGCTTAGAAAGGATGGAAGGCTGAGTCAACCCTGAGTCAACCTGGCGAGATTCGAATTTACAATAATTGCAGGCAGCTGGTGTTAATCACAATGCTATCAGTCTGCTGAGCCACCAGGCATTGTATTGTATTGTATTGTATTTTGTATTGTATTTTGTATTGTATTGTATTGTATTGTATTTTGTATTGTATTGTATTGTATTGTATTGTATTGTATTGTATTGATTGTTTTGTATTTTGTATTGTATTGTATTGTATTGTATTGTATTGTATTGTATTGTATTTTTTATTTATTTTTTATTTTAATTTGATTTATATGCCGTCCTTCTCCGGAGATTCAGGGTGGCTTACAGTGTGTTAAGCAATAGCCTTCATACTTTTGTATATTTATACAAAGTCACCTTATTGCCCCCACAAACTGGGTCCTCAATTTACCTAGTTTAGAAAGGATGGAAGGCTGAGTCAACCCTGAGTCAACCTGGCGAGATTCGAATTTACAATAATTGCAGGCAGCTGGTGTTAATCACAATGCTATCAGTCTACTGAGCCACCAGGCATGGCATGGCATGGCATGGCATGGCATGGCATGGTATTGGTATTGTATTGTATATTGTATTGTATTTTGTATTGTATTGTATTGTATTGTATTTTGTATTGTATTGTATTTTTTATTTTTTTTAATTTTAATTTGATTTATATGCCGCCCTTCTCCGGAGACTCAGGGTGGCTTCCAGTGTGTTAAGCAATAGCCTTCATCCTTTTGTATATTTATACAAAGTCAGCTTATTGCCCCCACAAACTGGGTCCTCATTTCACCTACCTTAGAAAGGATGGAAGGCTGAGTCAACCTTGAGCCTTGGAGAGATTCGAACCAGCAGTAATTGCAGGCAGCTGAATGCTAATAACAGGCTATTAGTCTGCTGCGCCACCAGGCTCCTGTATTGTATTGTATTATTGTATTGTATTGTATTGTATTGGTTGTATTGTAATTGTATTGTATTCATGACTGTGGCATTTGCTCAACAAGAGTAGAAGCAAGAGAGGAGTCCCACTCAACAGCTAGCTTGCTATCCCAGTAGCATCTCACAACAGAAATAGAAACAGACCTCTTTATTGGTCAGGTGTGAACGGACACACAATTTGTCCCTGGTGCAGAAGCTCTCAGTGTACATGCTAGCAACAAGTGATAAATCCTAATCATGAAATACAATCCTCACAAATCATAAGGTGCCAACATTCAGTGAGAGTCATAGGATACTAAATAAAGTAACCAACCAACCAACCAACAACAAAGTGATAGTCCAAAGATGCTAAAGGAACTAAACTTTTTGCTAATTTTTTTTTGCTAAACTTTGGAATTTAGCAAAAAACTAAACTTTTTTTGCTAAATTCCAAAACTTTTTAATCTCAAGGAAGCCAAGGGGATGACACCTACGTGGTGATATCAAAACTAATTATTTGCAATAATTAATGCAAGTAATGTCTCCATCACTTGCCCTCCTCTAGCATCCCAAGGTGGGGTTTCCTTGCCACCCCCCCCCTCTCCCCTTCCCCAATGCAAAGCCAAGTGCCAACTCACCAGCGCTGGCCAGAGCCTTAAACCAGTCCAGCAGTTTTTCCAGACAAGTGTCGTCTGCCACGGGATGCCCGGGGTCGGCCAGGACGGAGCAAACGGAAGGCAAAAGCTGGGAACATTTTGCATCCATGGGGAGCAAGGAGTTCTTGCAAAAGAAAAAAAAGAGGCGAAGCCCCCCAAAACAGAGCTTAATATTCACAGTTTTTATACAGAGCTGCCCGGATGGGGGAAACTTTTACAAACTTTTTTTTTTCTTTTAAAAAAGCTCCCACTGCAAGCTACGTTGACACCCCGGGTTTAGTGCAGACACGCGTCCGCCCCGATCGTCTGAAATGCCACCCCGTCTTTCTCGCGCAGGGCATTGAATGGTGCAATGCAAGCAGGGTTGCTGGGGAAGGGGCGGGAAGAGACGACCCCGGCCCCCAATGCAGGGTTCTTATTGGGATAGAGCCTCCTGTGCAAAGAGCCCGGAGCTTTGCAAAAGGCTCCGCTTGCAAGGAAAACGAGGCGCGCGCGCGAGCGAGCAGAGCGTGCAACCCAACCCGCTGCAAACTCGTGCTTGCGAACTACAGGGGGCTCGTCTTCTCTGCGCAGGCGCGGGCTCGTCCCTTTCCCCCCCCCCCGCGCGCCGCCCTCCTGACCCGGGCATGCGCAGAAGGGCGAAGGAAGCTCGCCCCTTCCTGACGGCGCCAGGATTCGGCTTCTCCTCCCGACGGGAGCCCTGTAGACACATTCGGCTCCGATCCCCTCAATCGTTCACAGCCGAGAATCACGGGAGGATTGGGCCCGGGGTTTCTAGGCGGGGGTGGGGGATGGATCAAAAGGTCGCGGCCTTCCCAAGCGAACGCAGAAGCGCTTCTGCGCAGGCGCGGCTTGCTCGCGCGTCCATCCGGGTCCTCCGCCCGGCGGTTGCCGGGGCGGTTGCCATGGAGACCGGCCGGAAGTTGTGAGGCGGGCCCAGCGCGCGGGGGGGGAGTGGGCGGGGCGGGGAGGCGATTGTGGTGGGGCTTCTCCCGCCCGAGACCCTCGTCGCGTCGCCGCCGGCATGTCGCGGAGCCCCAGCGAAGCCGCGGAGTCGGTGAGGGCCGGAAGGGTGGGTGGGTGGGAGGGGAGGTCCCATCACCCCCCCCCCGGCAGAGCCGGGGGGGGGGGGGGGGGGGAGGGGGGGGGGACTGCAGGTCCCATCATCCCCAGCCAGCCAGCCTCCGGGGGGAGGGAGGGACGGACGGGTGCAGGGAAGGGCTGGTGGGGGGATGCAAAGCCTGGGGTGGGGTGGGGTGGGGGAGGACGAGGGGGGGGGACTGCGCGGAGATTCACGTGAATTGTGCCCATTCCCACGTTACGGGGCTGCCCAGGCGGGGTTCTGAAGATCCGGGGCTGCCCACCCCCCTTTCCAACACCTCCCTCCCCCCTCCCGCCCTCTGGGTCTCAGGAAAACCGGGTTGGAAATCCGCTGCAGAAATGCTGCTCTTCCTCCTCTTGCTTCTCCTGAGCCTTCGTATCGGGAGTCCCATGTTGCACTGCACTCTGGGCTGGGCTGCTGGTTGGGGAGGTATATCTCCCAAGGACGCCCCCAACACTGACGCGGCAAGCCAGGAGTGGGGTGTGCTCTCTGTTTATATACACACACACACATACACACACACACACACACACACACACACACATACACATACACACAAGTGGGCTTTATATAAAGCAGAGCAAATGCCACTCCTTGGCAGAAACACGGAGGATGTTACCTGGTTGGGTCAGGAAACGTCTGCAAGGAAAGTACCCAAGTTCAGAAAGGAACAAAAGATTCTGCGGTCGTCATTCTTGTTGTCCTCCTCAACTGTACAAATCTCTCTCTTTTCCCAGCATTGATGATATTACCTAGTTGGGTAAAGAAATGTCTGCAAGAAAACAACCAAGCTCAGAGAGCAGCACCAAGGACAGCGCCCACAATTCACCTCTGAGCTACCCTATCTACCCGAACCCACCCACCTACCCTACCTACCTACAGTATCATTTATCTAGGTATCTACCTACCTATCT